ACTTTGCTTCAGGATGAGAACAGAAATCGTGTGGCGGCATGGTGGCAGGCCTCATTAGCTAAAGTGGTACCTCAGGTTAAGAACAGTTTCAGGTTAAGAACGGACCTCCGGAACAAATTAAGTTCTTAACCCGAGGTACCACTGTATTCTGGAAATGTGTATTTTCATTATAGCTGGGGTCTCTTCCACATTTGATCTTTAATATAATATGGATCTATCTTGAGTTGCCCACAGGCCCCTCTGTTTATCCCTGGGTGTTGCCAACCAACATTTGGATTAGAAGACATTGGAAACGTTTTCCAGTTCCTGCAGTTCTTAATCATATGTGCCATCCTGAAATAAATCAGGATTTTAAAAAGCTGTAAACATACAGGCTATACAGTAGGGTACCTTCTCAGTATTATGGAGAGGACAGAATGCTGATAATCCCTCTTGTTCTTCCTTTAGGAACAGGGGCAGTGGTGCTATGTACTGTTTCCTGCCAATATGTTCTAGTCATCAACTGTTTGGTACCAGAGCAAAATTCTTTCAATCGTGGATCATATTATGAAACGTAAGCTCATCTCCAGGGATGACATACAACGTATCATGTTTTAGTCATCACACATTCCAACATTATCATCTCCTGAATTAGAAACATTACAACTTATTGACACTGGGAGTTTGACAAGTTTGTAATTTTATTCGTTTATTTATTTAGCCTGAAGTATTCATTGCCTTGCATATGTAAATAAAGGCCAGAATCTTCTGCCTAATAAAACACCTGTCCTCTTCTATTTTTTAACTGCACTACTTTCACCTCATTACAGTCCCTTAGCCCGAGTAGCGTTCGGGTAGTGTATGACCTCACCAAAGATGAAACAGTGTCTGAGGTGATTAGTCAGCCTATAAAAATAAACTTTGACATGTTCTGACACTTGGATGACAGTGTTCAAAGGAGATGGAGGAAAACACCAGCCCCTTTCATACATTATGCGCACTGAGAACAAATGTGCCGAGGCAGGAGGGTGACATTGTGGCAGCAGGTTCTGTTGCCAACTGATGCCCATTCATTTTGACATTTGAAATGTCTTTAGGCAAATTCAGTGCCACTCTCAAAGCACACGTGTTCTGTGTGCACATAATGTATGGAAAAGAGTATATCCTAATGTGGGGAATTACTTCACACAGTCAAATATGATCTTTCCTAAAACGGCAGAAATGAAAATGCATTGTTCACTGGTAGAGTTACTTATATGGCTAGTCTATTATAATGAAGTCAAAATCAGGATCTTTGTTTTGAAGATATTCAGCACCTGGTTTGTTGAGCATTAAGTACACATTTTGGGGTTTAACATTTTAACTCTAGCCTCAATATTCACTTGTAAGGCATGAACGCAGTTTGAGCAGAGGCTAACAGTTTGACACAGCCTTCAGAATATGCTGCTCTCAGTCATAGCAACTACTCTGGAATATGGGTGAAGGGGCTATATTAACAGGTTATTTCTTGCCTTCTTATGGTACATTATGAGACAAACGGATTGGTGGATTTATATCTTACGATCCTTTACTAATCTTGAACTGGGTGTGTCTGCTGACAAGACAAGCCCTATCCAACATTCTCATCCCTAGATATATATTTTAGTCACAGGATAGAGCTCGTATTGCCTGTAGACACAAAAAATTCAAGATGTGGAGCTTTTCTTAGAATTTAAACGCAGAAATAAGGAAAGACATATGTGTTCTGTTTATGCTTATAATGCAGTTATTTAAAGCCAAGGGCCATGGGGGCAGTGGGCAGAGAAAGAGATTCATGTCTGAGTTGAAATAAGGTTATCTCAGTTCTAGTCTGACACTCTAATTCTGCACCTTATTTGATCCGGAAGGATTGGTTCACATCTTTTGACCCTTTGGAAGTCTTGGGCAACAAGCCCACTTCCCCCAAAGATCACACTTTTTTGCAATAAGGAAAGTGGCAGAGAAGTACACTGGGGAATGTGGAATAACACTTGCATGATGCAACATCATCTGACCTCCCCACAAACAAATGAGAACCTCCCTGAAAACAAAACAGGACGAATATTCAGAATGGAAACAACATTGATCTAATGATGGCAAGTTCATATGCTCAGGAGACACAGAATAGTTACAACGAGGGTCCAAAAGATTTAAATGTAAGGTTTAAAGCATGCTTTAAAGGAGCGGGGCGGGGGGCACTAAGGAGACTTTATTGTTTTTGAATAGCTACACTTCTACTTTTAATCAGCATAGCTGGAAGGAATTGAGACGCAACACCTTGCTGTGGCGTTCACTGAGGCCCAGATGACATGGGGATAACATTGCATGTTTAAACAAACATGATTAACCTGGGTGCTTTTGGAGAAGAAACAGCCATGGGGCCTCATAGCTTTTTGTGCTGCTTTGCCCCCAAGTTTGTGATTGCAGTAAACACCACTTGCAGGTGCAATCAGCGGCCAGGAGGGAGGAATTTTCAGTAAACAAACAAACAAACAAACAAACAAACAAACAAACAAACAAACAAACTGGTGTGAAGTCCCAAGTGAGAGAGATAGCACAATGCCCAGGTTCAGAACACTTTCAAAAACGTGACAAATATCGTGTATATTTTGGACCCTGTGCAGGGGCGGAGGAAGGGAGTGTGGCAGGTGTGAGCCGCCCTGGGTGTCACCACTGAGGGGGGTGACAAAATCCTTCAGGATGACAACAGAAATTGTGCAGCGGCGGCAGCGGCGGCAGCAGCAGGAGGCCCCATTAGCTAAAGTTGTGCTTCAGGTTAAGAACAGTTGCAGGTTAAGAACGGCCCTCCAGAACGAATTAAGTTCTTAACCCGAGGTATCACTGTATCTAATTCAGCAGGAGCTTTTCCCAGCCTAATCTGAAGAGGCCAGGAACTGAACCTTGGGTCCCGTATGTGCAAAGCGTGCTCTTTGCTGTGAGCTATGGCTATCCCTCATTTTCAATACAAAAATCGCAATATTTTCAAAGGAACATATTGCCTAAGAATACTGAACTCTTTTTTGCTGTTGATGAAAGACCCATCCTGACGTTTGACTTCCCCTTTTTTCTAGTATCAAAATGAATATATCCTTTTTGAGTGCATTTGCTGTAACTTGAAGCAGTTCCTTTAACATCACAAGATAAGCAGGGCACCAAAGAGAGGGAAACACCGCCACCAAGAGAACATATTTGAGAAGTTCTTTATACAAGTTGATGTGTTTTAAGACTACAGGGGGCTAACTGGTTAAAGATTATGGGTTCAGCAATAATAAAAATAAAATATATAAATTTAAATACTAAGCAGTATCAGTTAACTGCCGAGATGTCCACCAGTGGTGGGAATGTACATAGAAATGTTGCCTAAGAAAAGCAGTAGTTTAGTGGGTGCTGAAATAATGACAAACTCAGCTTTCTTTCCCAGCAGGCTTTGCAGCACCTCACAATGTCTTGGACCATATTTCCTCCATCTCTCTGTTCCTAGGGAGCCGTATTTCTGTCCCTGCCTCCCTAAGTCCTTCACTGTCACCTACTGCTCACCTGTCTATGTCCAGGTTAATTTTTTAATTCTTTCCTTAGCAGGCTTGCTTCAGGAAATCAAGAGGGTACAACTCAATCCAACTTGTCTCTTGCTGTAACAGTCCCTGGTATTTCACAAGATCCTACCCCATTTCATGAATGAATGAATGAATAAATAAATAAATAAATAAAGTAAAATAAATTATTTTCCTGAAATGCTCTTCATTAGATCTGGCATGTGAGAATTGTTTTACTTGTTTTACTTATTTACTTTACTCGCTACACTGTTTTGTTATGATTGGAACAGTTTTACTTGTTTTATTGATTTTTATAACTATATTATATTGTAACCTGTCCTGGGACCTTATACTGAAGGGTAGGCAAGAAATTGTATAAATAATAAAAATTGTTATAAAAATAGTCCTGCTCACAGGGAGCCACAAGAACAGAAAAATATCTTTTGACATCTTTTTTGCCAGCCACCCAAACATTTGTCTATAAACTCCAGTATTTTCTTATAGCCATTAACAGAGGACGATTCTGAGGAGAATCTTGAGTGCATTTCCTTGTCCCAACTGACATAGCTGGAGAACAGCTGAACAAATCATACCAATTATAGTGTGTAACATTTTCTTCATCAAACCATATGTTGTACCCTTAAGGCATATGGTCCGTGTTTCATGGTTTCACAGTTGGCTGAGATTCCATTTTGTGCACTGTCATCACTATTTTCTTATAGCCAAATGTGCCTGTCTGAGGCAGAAATGGCTCATGTTCTTTATACATAGAGATGTGCTTACTTGATCTACTCTAGAAGGACATCTCTTTGCCACCCAAACATTTGTCTACCACTACAACTTGGTGAAGGTAAATGTTAATATCGTTTAGTATTTATGTCTGGTGATATCCAGACCAGTATTGGCTATGTTGTTGTTGTTTAGTCGTTTAGTCGTGTCCGACTCTTCGTGACCCCATGGACCAGAGCACGCCAGGCACTTCTGTCCTCCACTGCCTCACGCAGCTTGATCAAACTCATGCTGGTAGCTTCAAGAACACCATCCAACCATCTCGTCCTCTGTCGTCCCCTTCTCCTTGTGCCCTCCATCTTTCCCAACATCAGGGTCTTTTCCAGGGAGTCTTCTCTTCTCATGAGGTGGCCAAAGTATTGGAGTCTCAGCTTCACGACCTGTCCTTCCAGTGAGCACTCAGGGCTGATTTCCTTAAGAATGGATACGTTTGATCTTCTTGCAGTCCATGGGACTCTCAAGAGTCTCCTCCAGCACCATAATTCAAAAGCATCAATTCTTCGGCGATCAGCCTTCTTTATGGTCCAGCTCTCACTTCCATACATCACTACTGGGAAAACCATAGCTTTTACTATACGGACCTTTGTTGGCAAGGTGATGTCTCTACTTTTTAAGATGCTGTCTAGGTTTGTCATTGCTTTTCTCCCAAGAAGCAGGCGTCTTTTAATTTCGTGACTGCTGTCACCATCTGCAGTGATCATGGAGCCCAAGAAAGTAAAATCTCTCACTGCCTCCATTTCTTCCCCTTCTATTTGCCAGGAGGTGATGGGACCAGTGGCCATGATCTTCGTTTTTGATGTTGAGCTTCAGACCATATTTTGCGCTTTCCTCTTTCACCCTCAATAAAAGGTTCTTTAATTCCTCCTCACTTTCTGCCATCAAGGTTGTGTCATCTGCATATCTGAGGTTGTTGATATTTCTTCTGGCAATCTTAATTCCGGCTAGGGATTCATCCAGCCCAGCCTTTCGCATGATGAATTCTGCATATAAGTTAAATAAGCAGGGAGACAATATACAGCCCTGTCGTACTCCTTTCCCAATCTTGAACCAATCAGTTGTTCCATATCCAGTTCTAACTGTAGCTTCTTGTCCCACATAGAGATTTCTCAGGAGACAGATGAGGTGATCAGGCACTCCCATTTCTTTAAGAACTTGCCATAGTTTGCTGTGGTCGACACAGTCAAAGGCTTTTGCATAGTCAATGAAGCAGAAGTAGATGTCTTTCTGGAACTCTCTAGCTTTCTCCATAATCCAGCGCATGTTTGCAATTTGGTCTCTGGTTCCTCTGCCTCTTCGAAATCCAGCTTGCACTTCTGGGAGTTCTCGGTCCACATACTGCTTGAGCCTTCCTTGTAGAATTTTAAGCATAACCTTGCTAGCGTGTGAAATGAGTGCAATTGTGCGGTAGTTGGAGCATTCTTTGGCACTGCCCTTCTTTGGGATTGGGATGTAGACTGATCTTCTCCAATCCTCTGGCCACTGCTGAGTTTTCCAAACTTGCTGGCATATTGAGTGTAGCACCTCAACAGCATCATCTTTTAAAATTTTAAATAGTTCAGCTGGAATACCATCACTTCCACTGGCCTTGTTATTTGCAGTGCTTTCTAAGGCCCATTTGACTTCACTCTCCAGGATGTCTGGCTCAAGGTCAGCAACCACCCGACCTGGGGTGTACGAGACATCCATATCTTTCTGGTATAATTCTTCTGTATATTCTTGCCACCTCTTCTTGATGTCTTCTGCTTCTGTTAGGTCCTTACCACTTTTGTCCTTTATTATGGTAATCTTTGTATGAAATGTTCCTTTCATATTTCCGATTTTCTTGAACAGATCTCTGGTTCTTCCCATTCTGTTGTTTTCCTCTATTTCTTTGCATTGCTCGTTTAAGAAGGCCTTCTTGTCTCTCCTTGCTATTCTTTGGAAATCTGCATTCAATTTCCTGTATCTTTCACTATCTCCCTCGCATTTTGCTTGCCTTCTTTCCTCCGCTATTTGTAAGGCCTCGTTGGACAGCCACTTTGCTTTCTTGCATTTCTTTTTCATTGGGATGGTTTTAGTATTGGTATTGGCAATACCAATATTGGTATTGGTAATACCAATATTGGTATTGGCTATAGACAATGCTAAAAAGCAGGTGACATCTTTGGACATTTTGCAAACTTCAGAAATGAATTGATTGGTATAGCTATATTGGGGGAAATAGTCTTTGTGAAATGCGTACAGGTTGGCAGATTAAGGTGAAAAAAGCTGCAACATCTTTTTGGCTGCCTGCCTCTCAAGTAGTCATACATTTACATATGGAGCCAGAAAATGAAATCTGATTAATATCCAAGCAGAACTGCAAACTCTGCATATTCTCTGATTCTTTTCCAGAAGGATGTTGCTTTTCAGTCCAGTTCATTGAAAGTTAAACAGCATCTTGAAACTTCCTACATAAGATCAATTGTTTTATTATACCTGCCAATTTTCATTTAATCTGTCCCCTATGCTTCATATTCAGAGCCAATTTCTCTGCATTCCCTAGTCACAATATGAATCACAGAGCCTATTCTCCATGGTATTTATGTTTCGTATCTAAGCAACTCTTACATATTTGAGTTTATTACTTCAGCAAAGGTTTGGGTCAGTTGTTTTGAAGCAAGGCCCCTTCTCGGATTCCCTCAATGAAATGACCTGAAATGGCAGACAGGCTTCCCTGAAAAACAGGTTGCCCATCACTACTATGCCCTTCTGAAATGTGCAGCTGCTGCATATTGTTCCAAGATGCCCGGCCAGTATCCTGCACGAGCTGAATGTGTGCCCAGAATTCTCTGCAATGCAAGGGCTCCTCACCAAAGGAACCTGAAGGCAGAAAGTATGGAACTCCTGATTTTGTTTATATATCCCGTTTATGTTGAACTAATGGTTTGTCTTGTGCAATTCCATTATTTTTAGTTCTCACCTTTTACGTTTGACTTGTCTTTCACTCTTCCTGATCTCAGACATGTGCCCTGGAAGGTCAGCGTTATAGACATAAGAAAACGAGTCGGTATTTGGGGACTGTTATATTCTTAGATGATGCCCACATGTATTGCACCAAGAGGCATTCCCACCTGTGTAAGCCAGGAGGAATGCTTGTTCTTAGATGATGAGTGCCAGTTAATATTTTGTAAACAACTGTTTTTTTAGAAATCCATTGCCATTTCATCAGGAGCATGCCTTTACTCAATTAAGAATGCTTTAATAAATTAATTCAGCAAATAGAGTAAATATTGTAGATATTCTGCCCTGAAAAGGGGCACATCAAGTCACCTGATGGCAATGAGATCTAATTGGTGGTATTAGTCAGAGCTTGAGAACCTCATAGAGCTTCAATGAAGCTTTCCCCCACAAAAATATCAGAAAGAACTTTCTAACAGACTGATACAACAACAGAACAGGTTCCCGAGAAAAGTGATGGACTTCATTAGTCATGGTCATTTGTCATGTATGATCAAGCTGAGATTTCTGCATTGGAGGGGATTGGACTAGATGACCCTCAGGGTCCCTTCCAATGCTACAATTCTATGGTTCTATGAACGTCTGGAATCTAAATCAGGCTTTTTATCTAATGTGATGATCTTAAAGTATTAGCCTCCTGGCCCAGTACAGTACTCTATCTCCTCTTCATTAGTTCTCTTCTGGTTTGTTGTCTGCACTAGTGATTCAGCAGTGAGGAGTATGGGGAGATGGTTAGTTCCTTGTGGACCTTAGCAACAGGGGTTGTGGTCTCTGGATATGCTTGTTTGGGGGTATATTGACTGAGAACCTGTTGCTCAGGCCCAGTGTTGGGGCTTGTGACTGTGGCTATCTGTCCCATGGCCTTTACCACTGGTACTTCTGATCTCACAGGTCTCTCCTAATCTAGGTCTGAATACAAGCTGCTGCCAAAAATGGGGTCATGACAGCAGCTTCTAACACACATTTTTTAAAATCATAATTTTATGGTTAAAAATAAGCTTCAAGGATAATATTCAGCTTAGTTTTACTCAAGAGTACACTCACTGAAATGAATTAAAATGATGGAGTTAAATACCTTAATTTCAGTGGGTCTACTCTGAGAAAAAATTAGTTGAATACTGCCCAAGTGTTTTTTGGAGACTTGTTTACATATAACAAATTACACCTGCATACAATGGCATAAATTGCAGTGCTAATCCAACAGATTGAAAAATGATTTCATATTTTTATCCTATCATCGCTTAAATTTTCTGGTGTTTTATTATTTCCAAACTTTTGCATTTTTTTTCTTCAAAAATAAACCTTAATGAGCACTCATTAAATTTGTCAAAACTAAGGTGCACATAAGCTGGGGATTTCCATTTGTACAGTAATAGATTTTGGCTGGTAAAAAGAGGGCAACTGCCAACAGCCAAGTCTGTGACCTTTGGATGGTCCTCTATCAAGGCCAAGCACCCTGCAGAATATAGTGTGGCTAAATAAAGATCAAGGCCAACTCAAAGTCATGACCAGATGCTAAGCCTCAAATAAGTATTCAAGACATATTCTAAGTGTGTGGGGACACATGCTTTTTCACTCTTATTTTAGTCAGATGTTATTAGGAAGACATTTTAAGAAGATGCTTTAATATTTGAGTATGACATTGGAAACTCAGCTCTTAAACATCTGTGTGGCAGACTTGACCTGATCTATCATAGTATCATGGCTTCTTGTATGTGTTGGTGGAACAACCATTAGAATTAGGTCACAACCTGTTAGTCTGAAATATCAACTATATCAACAGTATACCAAATATCAACAGTATATCAAATCCAGTGCTCCTTATAGATGAAGTGTTTGCAAGTGGCTCCCTGCATTTTCATCGCTGCTAATTTTCACTATTGCTTTCAGGCACATTTGACAGGGGAGGAAGGGACAATTTTTTTCAAAAAAACCAAACCAGAAACAGATGGAGGAGCAAGTCTACACTGATTATCTGCTCTAACCACCAACACTGTTCATATGAATACTGTGTGCTCAAAGCTGCTTTAGTTTCATAGTCTTGCTCCTCAGAATATGAAAGTATTCATCTGCTGTTTTTCTTTGCTTTTAGTTTTTATTATGTAATGAAAGGGGAAATGAACGTCTGTGCAAACATAAAACCAACTCTTAACCTAAAGGATTATCAGGGCTCAACCACGGAGCCTCCATGTGGCCAGTTATTCAGAGTCAGTTTTTTGGCTCTCATCCAGCCCACCACTGAGTCCAGGCACCAGTTCATGGCTTGCATAGCCTCCCCTGATTCAGATGTTACAGAGAAATAGAGCTGGATATCACCAGCCGACTTGATGACACCTTGCCCCAAATCTCAGAAAGACCAGCTGAAGCAAGGCTCCAAAACCCAACATATCTCACTCGGCCTGAGACTGTTCTCCCCAACACACATGTTTTCCTTGTAGAGTCACTTTTCTGTCATTGACCAGGCTCATTTTCAGGCCATTTGTCTCCCCAAAGATCTTTTCAATCTGCTACTTTCTGGGAGCCCCATTCCCCACCCCTACCACAACAAAAGTAGAAATTGCCAATATTTCAAACAGTTGCACTTCAAGAGGTAGGGAAGGGTTTTTCTGCGGCATAAAAGTAGGAATGGGGAGAAAGGCCTCAGCGTGCTGGGTTGGGAGGTCTGTATAGAAACAATGTATGCATGTAGCATAAACCTCACTCTGGGCTGATCCACACTAATTTCCCTTGACATTTTCTAATCACAGGTCCCTGCTTTTCCAGGAAATCACAGACCTGTGCCTAGAAAGCATGGTGCAAAAGATAAGTGTGAGTCCATTATTTCCTTCTACTGCACTTTATGATGCTGCCCCAACATGGTAATGAAGAAAGGCCTATATACAGTATAAATAAAGGGAAGTTTGCCCCCTTGTGGCTGCTTGAGTATCAATTTATTTTATATTACTGTACCTGTACTGGTGGGACGCGGGTGGCGCTGTGGGTAAAACCTCAGCGCCTAGGACTTGCCGATTGTATGGTCGGCGGTTCGAATCCCCGCGGCGGGGTGTGCTCCCGCCGTTCGGTCCCAGCGCCTGCCAACCTAGCAGTTCGAAAGCACCCCCGGGTGCAAGTAGATAAATAGGGACAGCTTACCAGCGGGAAGGTAAACGGCGTTCCGTGTGCTGCGCTGGCTCACCAGATGCAGCTTGTCATGCTGGCCACGTGACCCAGAAGTGTCTGCGGACAGCGCTGGCTCCCGGCCTCTAGAGTGAGATGAGCGCACAACCCTAGAGTCTGTCAAGACTGGCCCGTACGGGCAGGGGTACCTTTACCTTTACCTTACCTGTACTGGCAAAAACTTTGGCTGGATGCAGGGTTAAAAGACACTGGATAATTTAAATGGCAAATTGATCCTTCTATGGTGGCCATTTTTTAATTTTTTTTCAACTACGGCAGACCAACACTGCTACCTACCTGCAACTAAACCCATCAACCCAGTTCAATGTCCATTTCCTTACTCTATTCTTTCCATGCGCCTGGGATGAATCCAGTGCAGTTAGATGGTAATAGGTCCATCAGTGCAAGCTTTTCTTTTCATCTTGCTGGACAGAACAATCTTCGCTCTCATTCCTTTTCCCTCCCCTCATATGCCATACCTTGCAACACTGAGGGCAGGGGCCTTCTTAAGTAATGACATCCTGTAAGTTATTCTGATATCCTTTTTGGCTAAAGGACAGTGTATAAATGACATGAAATAAATAATAAAGGGACACAAATTTCTATCTGGTCCCAAGAAGCTACAGGGCTGGATCCCAGCTAACAGTATCTATTTAGAAGTCTCACTGAATTCAATAGCACTTACTTCCAAGTGAACCATTCAATGTGATCAGGTGTTAAACAGAGTTGTGTTATTGCCTCAACTCTATTCATTATTTTCATTGCCATGAACCTACACTTTGTTGAAGGGAAACTCCCCACCGGAGTAGAAATCATATATCGAGCAGATGGAAAGCTCTTCAATCTGAGCAGGCTGAAAGCAAAGAGTAAGGTTACAATAACTTCTGTCATAGCGCTTCAGTATTCTGATGACAACGTTGTCTGCACATGCTCAGAGGATGACCTCCAAATCATCCTAATTATTTTTGCAGAAGCTTACGAAAAGCTTGGCCTATCACTCAACATCCCAAAAACCAAAGTGCTGCACCAACAAGTACAAAATAAACCCTCTGCAGTGCCACAAATTCAATTCAATGGTGTAACATTGGAAAATGTTGATCACTTCTCTTACCTAGGCAGTTATCTTTCCACAAGGGCCAACACTGATGCCGAAATCCAGCATTGCCTGAGCTCTGCGAGTGTGGCTTTATCCCGATTGAAGTGCAGAGTGTTTGAAGACCGGGACGTTCGCAGGGAAACCAAAATGCTTGTTTACAAAGCTATTGTACTACCAACCTTACTATATGCTTGTGAAACATGGACCACTTATAAATGCCATCTCCAACTCCTTGAAAGATTCCATCAACAGTGTCTCCAAAATTTTTTACACATCACTTGGGAAGACAGGCGAACTAATACCAGAGTACTGGAAGAAGCAAAGATCACCAGTGTTGAAGCAATGATTCTTCAACATCAACTTCTTTGGACTGGTCATGTTGTGCGGATGCCTGATGATAGTCTTCCAAAGCAACTACTCTATTCCGAACTTAAAAATGGAAAGCGTAATGCTGGTGGTCAACAAGAGGTTTAAAGACTGTCTCAAGGCAAATCTAAAAAAATGTAGTATAAACACTGACAACTGGGAAACACTGGCCTGTGAGCGCTCCAGTTGGAGAACAGCCTTTACCAAAGGTGTCATGGGCTTTGAAGACACTCGAACTCAGGACGCAAGGGAGAAACATGCTAAGATGCTTGGCAAACCCTCACCGTGATCAACTCCCGCCCAGAAACCAATGTCCCCACTGTGGAAGGATATGTGGACCCAGAATTGGCCTCCACAGTCACTTAGGGACACACTGTTAAAACTGTGTTTATAAAGACAATCTTACTCGGCTAAGAGTGATCACCAAAGAAGAGAAAGACTTCCAAGTAAGTGGGGTCGGAATTGCAGCCTAAGCCCCACTGAAACCAATGAGAACTAAATCATGATTCATTCCTCCTATTTATTTCAATGGGACATGAGTGCAAGCCACGTAGTTTGGAGTCAAGCCCCCCCCCATCAAATCTGGTTCAGAAACGATCTAAGATTTAAGCGTTTCAGATTAGGGAGCCGAAAACATTCCAAGCGACAAGTCTGGAGTGGAAACGGCAAAGGCGAGGAGGGAGAGGAACAAGCGGGCCTTTGGCGTCGCCCAACTGCAATGAGGAGGGAAAACCGCCTTCGGAGTCGGGCAGGGAAACCGACGCGGACCTCCGGCCGCGCATGCTCAATCCCTCCCGCCTTCTGCTCCCAGCAGCCATTTCCTTGAGTCTCCTCCCCTTCTTCTTCTGCGCTTGCGTTCGAAGCGGGAGGTGCGCGCGCTGCCACTCCGCCTCGGCGTCTCCCTTCCTTTTCTTGTGTGCGCGGCCGCGTGTGGTTCGAGACCTCGCAGAGATGGCGATGCACGTTCCGAAGGCCCCGGGCTTCGCCCAGATGCTGAAAGACGGAGCGAAGGTGGGTGATTGTATGTCTGTGTGTGTGTGTGTGTGTGTGAGAGAGAGAGAGAAGCTCGCGAGCGTGGCGGCGAAGGAACGCAGAAGGTTCCAGAAGCGACGCCTCAGCCCGGCGCTTCTAAGGAGGCGGGGCTACTGGGCCCCATCGCCCGTGGACTGGAAGCCCGTTAGCTTGGCGCGCGCTCACTGGCGGTTAGCAGTCGCCTGAAGAATTAACGTGCTCCCCCCCCCACCCCCGCTTTCCGAAGGGGAGCCAGTGGCTACTCTCCCGTCACAACGGACACGCCCTAATATTTCATTCATGCCCGTTCCCTGTCACTTGACGTCTCTCTCGCCGCACTCATTGGCGCGCCCGCTGCCTAGCAACTCGGGGGCTCGCGCGCGGTAGAGGGGTGGGTGACGGTGACTTCTTATCGCGTTTGCTGACGTCATGGGCACGCGCCAAGTTCGCGGCCGGCGGCGGAATTTTTCGTTGAAGGGAGTTGCTAAGGTTCCGATTCTGAAGCAGAACCGGCCCAGAGCTAAGGCATCCGCTGCTTTGCTGCTTGCCTTGCCGCTTTCCTTTCAAATTCGTGTCAGGGATGCTTTGTGCAGCTTCCTGTGTTCACTCTTCTGAGCTGGAATGCCCACACGTTGTTCTTCCACCTCCATGGCCGTAGGCTCAGAGTACGACAGGATGCTGCATTTCCTCCTGCCACCCTGAACTTAGCAGCCCTGGTGATGGAGGAGTGGGAATGGTTGGCTTAAGACACCTGTGCAGCTCAACTGTACATAACTCGTGACTGCATGGTCCATGTACTTACATTGTAGGTCACATATGTGGAAAGGATCCAGGAGCTTTCACATCCTGTACAGTGGTACCTCGGGTTACAAACGTAATTTGTTCTGGAGGTCCATTCTTAACCTGAAACCGTGCTTAACCTGAGGCGCACTTTTGCTAATGGGGCCTCCCACACCGCCGGCGCACAATTTCCGTTCTCATCCTGGGAAAAGTTTGTAACCCGAGATACTGCTTTGGGTTAGCAGAGTTTGTAACCCGAAGCATCTGTAACCCGAGGTACCACTGTACTTGGTGTTTTACTTGTGTTTATAGTAAGAGTTTTATAGTACGGTATATGAGTTTTATGACTGAGTTAATCTTTGAAGCTGGGGCCTAGTTCGACATGTTGACAGTGACAATGATGTTTCCATCTATTTCTATTTGGAGATGCTTGCACCTATAATGGGTAGCCACTGGGATAAACTTTGCTATGCTTTTAGATTCACTCCTGACTGCTATAGGGCTAGGTGGCCAAGCTATTCTTTTACCTCCCTTTGATAACAAATTACACTTTAATCAGTCAAACAAACAAAAATAAGCCGCCAACTGTGCAGTGGCATTCTTGAAATGTTTGACTGTTCAGTTGGCCTGTGTGCCAGTTCAGGATTACAACTTGGTGGGCAGTAGTTTGTGGGCACAGTGGAGGACTGGCTTAACTCAGTGTTCATTGCCTTTTCTTAAAGATGGCGAGTAACCTTCTGCAAACCTGTATTTGATATAGAACATAGATAGACAAACTAAGGCCCGGGGCCCGGATCTGGCTCAATCGCCTTCTGAATCCGGCCTGTGGACGGTCCGGGAATTAGCGTGTTTTTACATGAGTAGAATATGTGCTTTTATTTAAAATGCGTCTCTGGGTTATTTGTAGGGCATAGGAATTCATTCATCCATCCCCCAAATATAGTTTGGCTCCCCACAAGGTCTGAGGGACAGTGGACCTGCCCCCTGCTGAAAAAAGTTTGCTGACCCCTGATGTAGAATCATGAGTCTTTGTTTTTATATCTCACTTGTATGATTCTAGACCTGTGCTTTTTAAATGCACAGCCAATGTCTTCAAATAGTCCTGGAGTCCTGGGGGCTGTGGCCCTGGCATCTACTCCTTCACATAGTTACCAACATTTTTTACCTAGTCATGCAATTATTGTCTATTGTGTGCCCATATATTTCTCTCACTACAGTGGTGCCCCACAAGACGAATGCCTCGCAAGACGGAAAACCCGCTAGACGAAAGGGTTTTCCGTTTTTCAATGCACTTCGCAGGACGAATTTCCCTATGGGCTTGCTTCGCAAGACGAAAATGTCTTGCGAGTCTTGAGATTTTTTTCCGCTCCCCCCCCCTTTTTCTAAGCCTCTAAGCCTTTAATAGCCTTTTAGCAGCTAAGCCGCTAAGCCGCTAAGCCTTTAATAGCCGCTAAACTGCTAATAGCGCTAATCAGCTAAGCCGCTAATAGGGTTGCTTCGCAAGACGAAAAAACCGCTAGACGAAGATACTCGCGGAACAGATTAATTTCGTCTTGCGAGGCACCACTGTACTATATTATACTTTTTCATGTACTTTAATTTAAAATACTTTGTTTTGTGTCTGTAGCATTATTCAGGATTAGAAGAAGCTGTGTTTCGAAATATTCAGGCATGTAAAGAGCTTGCTCAAACAACTCGCACAGCCTATGGACCAAATGGTAAGACTTTTTAAAATATTCATAAATTATAACCTTAAAAAGAGGAATTTAGGGTGACTATGTAGTATGTATTAAGAAATACAGCTTATGATGCTTTTGTTTGTTGATAAACCCAGGAACAATGCCATGATTTGTTTGGAGAATTTGTTGTTGTTGTTTAGTCGTTTAGTTGTGTCCGACTCTTCGTGACCCCATGGACCAGAGCATGCCAGGAGAATTAGATAGAATTAAATCCTGAAACTAATTCACATTTCATAACACTGTCTAGTTATATTAAATTGTCATTCACATACTTGAGGTGTTCTATTTTTTTTTTTAAAGGGATGAACAAAATGGTTATCAATCATTTGGAGAAGCTTTTTGTTACTAATGATGCTGCTACCATCCTAAGAGAGTTGGAGGTAAATTCCTTCCTGCCTTATTCATTTGTAGTCTGCTAAGGATATATTGACTTGTACATGGGGATTATTTATGGCGAAACATTGTGTATGCTGTCTGTTACAAGCTAAGCTTTTCTAGGCTTGTGTTGTTTCCCTGTGAAGGGGTCCAAAGACACCTTTGGGTGGGGTGTATGGGATGGATAGAAATTTGTGGTACAGGCAGCTTTGTGTATATCAGGGTTGAATTAGCATGATTATAAGAAATGTGTGCTGCTAAGATTGTATGAAGAACTTGTTAATTACGCCAAAGTTTTGCTATTTCACATACGTGTTTTAATGACTGTTGCCACATAATAAGATTTAGGTGCACTGAATTAGTTAAATGTTTTGAATTTGTAATGCAGCGTAATACATATTGAAGCATGCTATTAGTTACTGAATATACACAAGTGTGCTTAATAGTGTTCTCTGATACAAAATCTTAAACAGGTTCAACATCCAGCTGCAAAAATGATTGTCATGGCTTCTCACATGCAAGAGCAAGAAGTTGGTGATGGAACAAATTTTGTTCTTGTGTTTGCTGGAGCCCTCCTAGAACATGCAGAGGAGCTTCTAAGAATGGGACTTTCTGTTTCAGAGGTAATCTTTTATTTTGTTCAGATTATTGCAATTCAAATTAGTATTCTAGGATCTTTGAATAATTGTGTATGAAACTCAGTCTCTTGTTTATCCTCTTAATTTTTCCATTCCTAATTGTGTCCTATTTTGCCTTGTGGAGATTGGGTTGGATCCAGATGTCCCTGTCTAAATAAAATGGCTCTTTTTGTGTGGAATGGGGCTTCAGGGAAAACTGGTCACTTTCCCTGCTTCTGCTTATGGAAGAGTCCAGTTGGCAGAGTTTTATTCCTGGGAAGTCTGAATCCAATCCTTTTTGAGGTTAAGATATCAAACTGACTTTGAACTTTTAACAACTTATGCATCACAGTACAGACATGCTAGTGTCTTTAATTTTAGGTAATTGAAGGCTATGAAAAAGCTTTGAAGAAAGCCTTAGAGATACTTCCTGATCTAGTGTGCTGCTCTGCAAAAAATCTTCGGGATGTTGAAGAAGTGGCATCTTTGCTGCAAACTTCAATAATGAGTAAACAATGTGGCAGTGAAATATTTCTTACTAATCTTATTGCTCAGGCATGTGGTAAGTATATGTCATTTTTTAAAATCTAAACATAGTATTTTGTTTTTGATACCTAAAATATTTTCATGTTAGTTTCAAGCTTGTTTTTTGTAGTGAAAGTCACTTGTCTTAATTTCTTGTTGGATGTCGTTTTTCAGTTGAGTACATTGGTGCCTCTGTTTATAAACTTAATCTGTTCTGGAGGCCCGTTCTTAAACCGAAACTGTTCTTAAACTGAGGCACGCTTTCCCTAATGAGGCCTCCCACCGCCGGTGCCCTTCTACCATTTGGCTTCCGTTCTTAGACCGGGGTAAAGTTCGCAAACCGGGACACTGCTTGGGGTTTTGCGGAGTTCATAAACTGAATAGTTCGTAAACAGGGCTGTTCTTAAACCGAGGTACCTGTATTTTCCTGAGCTGCTCTTGTCAAGCTGCAACAGTGTCTAAAATAGAGTAACACTTACTTGTTCATATTATAAAGCATAATATTGTAACTGGTGCTATTCCCACAGATTCTGTGGCATGTAATTAATAAAATAACTAAATTAGATGACTAGCTAGCTTAACAATGCTTCCTAAAAACATGTTACTTTTCATTTTTCGCTCTCTCACAGTCTCTATTTTCCCCGAGTCGGGTCACTTTAATGTTGACAACATCAGAGTGTGCAAGATCATAGTAAGTCATTCTTTCTTTTCCTTTCAGTACTGTAATACTCAACATTGAAGGCACTTTGTTTCACTGGAACTTGCCTTCTGGTCACTATGCTTGAGGGTTGCAGCTTTAGTTATGGTAATCTTGAAGAAAAGCAGTTCTGTCTGAACTTTGGTTGGGGCCAAAAACAGGAGAGGGTGTAAAAAACATACCATCTGTGGATTTTTAGTAGACTGTTCCTATATCGTTTTCCTGGGAGATTAGAGACTTCATATGTAGGTATGGATACATATAAACATTCCGATTCTGAAATTCGAAAGTAGATTTCGCAGAAAAGAAAGAGTTCTGGCTTTCAGTCAATAAGATAATGAATTTCTCTTCAATTAGATAATTAGCATTTCTCTTCAAATATCAGTGGGGAAGATTGGGAAGATCTAGAGTAGGGAATCATTTGCTGTGTTGAAATAGAAACATAAGAATGATAAAACAAATGCTTTAAATTGTAGCAATTTAACTGTTCCTAAGCAGATACAATCAGAGTTCAGGTATGCTTTCACATTAAATAGCACATTAATTTAATTAAAGTAAAAAATTAGTTGTATTCAGACTTTGCAGTAGGTCTCTTAAAATCAATGAAATCTACTCCCAAATATGACAGTCTAGATCCAACTCAGTGTGATTTCAGTGGCTTAACTTGGATGGAATGGTAATTATAATCTGTTCTTTTCAGGGTTCTGGCATTTGTGCTTCTACAGTATTGCATGGCATGGTTTTTAAAAAAGAAACTGAAGGTGATGTTACTTCTGTCAAAGATGCCAAAATAGCTGTGTATTCTTGCCCTTTTGATGGTATGATAACAGAAACTAAGGTATGGTTTCCCACCGTTTGGAAGTATTAAATATGTATGAAGCAGCAGCATGTCTATACATATATATAGTAGTTGCTTATTTTCTCAAGGTGATCCTTTCCGTGTCTGCATTTGCATGGTGAACCAGGCCGAGAGCTACCTTCCTTTGTGCAGTTCTGCTCACAGGGGCCGATATGGCGAAACCTTGGTTAGCACAGAGAGGGACAGTCCTATTATCGTGACTGTAAAAAGTGGTGCTGCAACTAGATAAATAGCTGCAGCCCTTTTAAAAATGCAATCTGTTCTGTGTTAAGGCAGGGATCCACGAAACTGTCAGTGGGAAGCAGTCACAACTTTGCAGTGACTTTTTGCCCCTGGGTGCCCAGCATAATGTGAGGGATCCCTTTCTTGCCTTCCATGGGAAACTTGGGCAAATGGAGGGATCTCTTGTTGCATATTTTCCAGTTATGCCACAAGAATGGTGCGTGTGTGTAAGTAAGTTAGTAAAATGACTACAAATTTTTGACTGATTTTATCTGGGCTGGGATTTCAGCAGGCAGTCCTTTCATGGATTGTCTGTCCTATATTTCCATGATTTAGTAAACTTTTGTTCGGTGGTACTAGGGTCTTAAGTGTCTGAAGTCCTTCCATGTTAGGCTCTTTAGATGAACATACCTGACAATGGTTCATTTGGAATGCTCCCCAAAAAACCCTTGTGCAAAAACACCATATCCATGATTCATAAATCACTTTTTCTAGCTGCTTCAGCAGCTCGGTCCTTGTACTTGAAGTTTGCTAAACACTTTAGAAATCCTGGAGACACATGTTGCTGTTGATCTATATGTGCGTTACTTAGAACATGGTTCTATGATAGCTGTCACTTCTGAATTGCCTGCTTTTCAGGTTATTTGTATTAAAACATACTAGGAATTGAAGATGAGAATGATGGGGGAAATGCTTTATAATTGCAGGGAACTGTACTCATCAAGAATGCCGCTGAGCTGACAAATTTTAGCAGAGGAGAGGAAAACTTACTGGAGTTACAAGTCAAGAGCATTGCTGATGCTGGTGTAAATGTTGTAGTTACAGGAGGAAAAGTGGCAGACATGGCACTTCATTATGCTAACAAATATAATATTATGTTACTCAGGTAAGTTGTGCAAAGGTGTAAATTGTTTACATTTCTTGGCTCATTTAACTGAAATACATAGCATATTTGTTTCCTGAAGTGTAAATTAGTACATATGTTTCATCCCATTATGACTTCAACCAAGATTATCCCTGTGTGTGTGTTTTCCTCTCTTTCTGAACAGCCACAGATGGGGGTGAATGGGTGGAAAGTACTCAGTGCAGGTCAGGATCATGGCACAGAACAGTTCATCATTTTATTTTGTACCATTTTTGCCCTTAAATTGTTCCCTCTTCAATTTGTGGCAAATTTTCTTTAGAATTATAGAGATGTCACTTTTCTGATGATGGAAGGGATTTCATTTAAGTCCAGTGTGCAGTTAATATGGTTTTGGTTTTCAGGTAGTTTGGATGATGATGATGATAAGGTGTACATATGTACGATTATTTGTCAATTTTTTTTGTCAATAATGAAATGCACTTTAATGCTTCTGTTACCAATCAAGACATGATGGAGGGGCACTGTCCTTGAACCATTACCAGAGTCCCTGCTTGTTCCTAAACAGGACAGTGGTGAGAGGCAGATGGTAAATTGCAGTCTGTTGGTAGACTGCTAGTACCTGCTGGGATATTGCAGACTGCTGGGCTTGGTATACTTTGGTCTCATCCTGCAGGCACTACTTACATTCTTAGGAAAGAATGTGTGTTCTGGATTGCTTAAGAGAGACTGGTGCTTTGAGTGTTTATACAAGACAAATTCCCATTTTCTAGATAGAGAGCTCATCTATTATTATTATTATTGTTATTGTTATTATTATTATTATTATAAAAGGCCCTAGAACAGGGTCTTTGCAGGAAGTAAAATGTTGATAGGGAACATTCCTGGAAAAATTAGTTTGGTACTAACAAGAATTTCTAGATTATGAAAATTACACCTGAACACTATTTTATCTCCTTTCTTAAAGGCTGAATTCTAAGTGGGATCTCAGGAGACTATGTAAAACTGTTGGTGCCACAGCCCTCCCCAGACTGGTATGTAGCGAGAACAGCAGAGGTTTTTTTAAAACCTACTCCTTTGCATAGACATAATCCTCCTTTTTCCTTCCCAGACACCACCTAATCTAGAAGAAATTGGTTACTGTGACAGTGTGTGTTTGTCAGAAGTTGGGGAAACACAAGTAGTTGTGTTTAAACATGGTATGTTTATTACTTTAGTCTACTCGTTATCTTTAATACATTGCATATAGAAACTTTGCATTTAGTCAGATTTCACAAGTAAAACATTGATATATTTTCCTGCAGAAAAGGAAGATGGTGCCATTTCTACAATAGTAATTCGTGGCTCTACAGAGAATCTTATGGATGATGTAGAAAGAGCAATTGATGATGGTGTCAACACTTTCAAAGTACTCACACGGGTGAGTAAAGTGCTACGCAGAATCATAGAATTGTAGAGTTGGAAGGGACCCCGAGGTTCATATAAGTCCAGCCCATGGCAATGCAGGAATGTAGAGGAGCATTATTTTACTGGCTTGTTAAAATGCAAAGTTAATCATGTGCAGTTACAGAAATGCTACCATACTGGAATATACAATAGTATATACTACCCCCAGTAGAGCAGAGTGCCACTCTCTGGTTCAGGGTGAGAGAAGTTAAGGTTTTAAGTTTACAGTGATACATGTGTCAGTAAGTCAGGTGGGCCAAATTTGGGGTGGGGATGGTATGTGAAATTGAGTGGCCCAATTGACATGAGAACACCCTTTCCCCCCAAAAGGGGGCAAATAAAGTAGTCATTGTCATCTTCTCTGGCTTGGCAGTTCCCTACCCTGAGCCATTTACCTCCCAACTCTGAGGGAACAATTCCAGGTGTGCAAAGGCAATAGGTGAGGACAATGCCACTCACCAGCTCCTCATCCAGCTGTGCTGTTCATCCCCTCACAAGGTCATTACCATCTGCTACCCTGTAAGAAGGATATGCTAACTTACTATGATGTTACCGTCTTTCCAGGGAGGCTCAATTTTCTAGAAAGGGAGGATATAAATAATAAAATAATGCAATCCGTTGCATCCAGATGACAGTCCATTTTATATAAGCAACCTTTTGAAATAAACTTCTCTAAAGCCTTCATGCTTAACCTAAGCTCAACTGTTAATTTGTCTGTAAGCCTGCCTTCTCCAATATGTATCTACTCAAACTTTAGCTTCCTCTTTGGAGCTCTTGCTCTTAGTGTTGCCAAAAAAATTAAGTGAATTGGGTAACCACCCTGGGAAAGGGCCTTTTTGGTATTGACTCTCTAGCTGTGGAATATCCTTCCCAGTGAGGCTCACCTAGCACCTGCTTGTAGTACTTTTGGAGCCCGGTAGACCATTCTGTTCACCAGGGCCTTATTTATTCGTTAAAAATATTTATGTACTGCTATAAAAAAGCAGTTTACAATAATTGTTTACTGCTTACTTACAATAAAAATGGGTTACAATACACTCTTTTTTTTTAGTTTGTTTGGTGCAGTATGTTGTCTCCTCCCCGTCTTAGTTGGGACAGTGGGATATGAGACAGTATACTGATAAAATAAATACAAAGGAAGAGAGTGAGATAAATTTTAAAAAAGACTTGAAATAGTTGCTTGAACTCTTTTGCAGGATAAGCGTCTTGTTCCAGGTGGTGGTGCAACAGAGATAGAGTTGGCTAAGCAGATCACGTCATATGGAGAGGTAAGCTACAAACTTAATATCTTTACTAAATTTAACTTTCCATATAATGCAACTTAAAATCCAATTCTGTCTTTAGACTTGTCCAGGTCTTGATCAGTATGCTATCAAGAAATTTGCTGAGGCATTTGAAGCTATACCCCGAGCCCTGGCTGAAAATTCTGGAGTTAAGGCTAATGAACTTATTTCTAAGCTCTACGCCGTACATCAAGAAGGCAACAAAAATGTTGGGTTTGATATTGAGGTAAGGCTAATGCCCAGCATAACATGCTTGTGGTGGTAGCAGTGTTCTGGAAGGCCATCCCTAGGAGAGTGTCTGCAAGGGAACAGTACTCTTTAACTATGGTTGCAGGGTGATGTGGGGATTCTGAATCAGATGGGCACATCTGTAAAGGAAGAATTGGGAGTACACTTAGGCTGCATACTCACTATACTTTTAAAGCACAGGCAAAACACATTTTCTCCTTGAATAATTTTGTGGTTTAAGAGTTATTGGGACTGTATAGTGCCCAGGATTTTTTGAGGAGGGAAATGTTCTTTAAAGGCATAGTGTGTATGCAGTTAGAGCATACTCCAGTTTCTTCTGTTTGAATTTGGCTGTGCTGTAGCTTTACCTGTCCTGCACCTGACAAATTAGGTGGATGACTGGGTAGGTTTGGCCAGAACTGCTTCATGGGCCAATTGGGGAGGCTTAAGCGGGGGAAACTCCACTTGTTTTGTTAATCCTTTTACAGTTATTTTAATGACCTTCCTATTCTAGCTGTTTTGTGATGTAAGGCTTAAAGATTTTTTTGAATAGGGAAATACTGTTTTCTTTCAAAGCAAAATACTATGGGCTTGATTATCAATATTAATACCCGCTAGCTGTCCATTTTGTTCCATGGGCAGATTCTTAGCACCTTTAACTCTTTTACTGACATCAGTGGAACTCTCATTGTAATCCTGTATCTGCTCAGAAAGGTGAGGCGCTGAACTCTTTTTCTAACATTTGATAGGCTGAACCTGCAGCTGTGAAAGACATGTTGGAAGCTGGTGTATTAGACACATACCTTGGGAAGTTCTGGGGGATTAAGCTGGCTACAAATGCTGCAGTAACTGTCCTAAGAGTTGATCAGGTAAGTTGGTGTAATAGGCTTTTTAATTGCTTCAGGTATCAGGCTAAATCAATACGGTATGGAAGCTGCTAGAGTATTGTTAGGTTATATATGCTTCATATGATGATTTGGTTAAAGTTGAAGGTCGATAACTTAATGTGGCAGTGTGTAGTCTTCTGGTAGGCTTCTGTTTTCAAATGATCAGTTTCATACAGTAAAGGATTATGCAGACTCTTACATAAATACTTTTAAAATTGAAACTTGGTGGAATTCTGTGCTTGATGTGAAATTCCTATAGATTATTATGGCAAAAGCAGCAGGTGGTCCAAAAGCCCCTAAAGCTTCAGAACATTGGGACAAGGATGACTGGAAAGATGGACCTGAACAGTAGTGTGAAGTAAGATTTGGTATCATGGCTCATGTTGGCAAGGAACGAGACTTTGCATGAATTCCTCTGCCTGGTGCTGCTGAGTGTATTTTTGCTTCCACTTCCACTTATGTGTAGGCTACATCACAATTTAACAACCTGCTTGAGATAAGGGTGCACAACACTGTTAATATTCCTAAAACATGGTTTGAAGAATTATTCTATAGACTAATATGCATGATTTAGTTTACACTATTAGAAGCATTATTTGTGTGCTAATCTTACATATTTTGCAAGTTATTGTAGTTGAATTTTTTTATAGAACATTAACACTTTGTCTTGGTTACCACACAATGCACCCAAAACACCCCAAGTTTTGTGTCTCTTTTGTAGGAAATGCATTCTGCGATTTCCATTTTTGGCATTCATGCTAAGCATGTATCTATAGAAATCTAAACTTACAGCAGACAATCACTGCTACTTGGAGACAATTCCTCATGACAACAGTGCTATCCCCATTGCTTGCTTAGCAGTGTGGGTATAGCAGTCTTGTACAACTGACACCTGCAAAGGAGATGGGTGCTTTTTGAGATGCAAGAAGAGCAGCCAAGGGCTACTCACATGTGCAAGAGGGTTTTGCTTTTCCCTGTTAGGCTGATTGATTTCTACAATTTTAATCAATATTTTATAAAATAGCAAAAACAGTCCTGGAGCTATGGTCAAGACTTATGGGTTGAATGCATTTTTCATTGCATAACCTTTTTGTAATACTAATTATGGAAGTATGTAAGAGATGAGGCAAAAGATACATATCAAATCAATACTGTCATACCTTAATTCAGCTGAAGTGCATTCTATGTAAAAATGTAGGTCTAACAACTACTTTTGCTTGCAGATCATCATGGCAAAACCAGCTGGTGGCCCCAAACCACCAACAGGAAAGAAGGAATTGGATGATGACCACAGTGATTGAACACTTTGAGTACTACTTAAGGAGTTGTGTATCTTGTCATATATGTTACTCACCTTTAAATTATGAGACTTAGCTTGTCTTGTACCATTTCAATAAAAACTGTTTCAGTAAAAAATTGTTCTGAATGTGGTAATAAATCCTATTCAATATTACAGAAAGATAGGACTGTATCTAATGTTAGTCATACTCAAAGCAGACCCACTGAAATTAATGGACATCACTAACAGGTTTACAGTCCACTCAACAAATGACCACCTCTGCCATTGGCCTGCTATCCAATTAAAACCAGGAAAGATTCTGGAATTGACTTCCTGCAGGAAGTCACCTTCTTTCAATGGAACAGTCTTAGATAGAATTGTCCTAGCAATATGTCACGGTGGATTGTTTGCTGTTCTCATCTATCTAAGCCCAGGTTTTTCCTACTTAGGTTCTGATCCTACGTGGGGTAAATCTATTTTCTGTTACCCATGTGGGGTAATGGGAGACTAGACTGCCAATTAAGCCAACCATTTTTTTTTCACAAGGAATTCCTGCAAATTGGTTTCTCTTCTAGGCTCCACAAATACTATATACATCCTGCCACCACCCTTCATAGAAAACATATCCATGGCCAGTTATGTTCCTCTCTCCTAGTGGCTATAAGTCATCATGTTTCAACAAGCTGAACAGGTAACTTCATTTGGCACATTCCCAAGTTGCATTAGAAGACATCTGTAGCTCTGTATTGCGGTCTAAGCCTTTAAGGCACAGGTAGGCAAAAAACGTGTTCCTACACTTAGTACAGGGACATTAAGAGCACCTTTTAACTCCCACTGCTCCCGATTCCTCCTTCCACTGCTTCCAACACTGTTCTCTGTTGCTGTTGGGAAGTAAATGGGTGCATGTGTATTAATAGCCTTAGTTACATGTGGCCCTCGGCAAAAAGTTGTGCCTACTTTTAAGAGACACTTCTGCATCCATGTAGCACTAGAATGTTCGTAAAAGAGGTAAAAATGTCATTTAAATTCATGTTAGATAAAACATTTATTTTTTATTTAAAAGCATGTAAGTTCTGTTCAGATGTGGGTAAGACAAAACCAGTGTAGATTGAGTATCAGGTTAATTGAACATGGAATATTAAGTTAATTGAACATGATAGCTTTTTTTTTTTTTGGGTGCAACTTTCCTTGGTTTCAAATCAGCTGTAAAAGAAAATGGCTCATTTACAGTAGTCTTTCATAGAATAGAAGATATGCTTGTGAATTCAGCACTTTGGCTAGAGGCACTGCTTGCACATGTGTATCACTAATATGAAACCATTGTCCTTTGGATGATTCAGTCTCTGAAGCTGAACAGAAAAAAAAAGGTGTGTGTCATTAAATTCCAGTAATTTGGCAAGAAAGTAATTTGACAATTTTACATTGGTCATCTAGGGTAAAAACACTGGTGCAACTTACTTTGTCCAATCTTGCCATGGAGGACAAGATCAGAAAGTTGGTTGTTAGTAGCTCTCGTCTTCACATAGGCAGTATAGTGACCAGATCTCATAGTGCCACTATGTTCAACAATACCATACAAAGAGTACAATACTCTTGAACTGCCCTCTACAACATTCTGTGAAAACAAGGTATCCAAAATACTTCAAGAAGGTTGATTTTATAATGCATCACAAAAATCGTAACGTTTGGTCGTTCTTACGCACTAGTATACAATTATCTTTTCATTATAACCAAGCTCAGCTAATAAACAGGAAACACTATAAGGGACAGCATTTATCTATTAATAAAAGGAGCATTTCAAACAAAAACATAGAAAAAGGTGAATAATAAAACAATTTGGCTAAGAATGAGACTAAAAATTAGAGGATAAAACAGCCCCAAATACACAAATCATATCTAAATAGATCCCACCCCACTAAAATTATAATCAAAGGCCTAGGTGAATAACCCATATTTTTGCCTGGCATCTAAAAAAAGTGTGATGATGCTAAGCATACCTCCTTGGGCAAAGGGGGCACCACTGCAAAAGCCCATTCATGTGTTATCACCCACAGAGAAAAGAACCTCAGGTGAGAGCGTAGGGCTCAGGTTGGTTCATGTGGGGAGAGGCAGTCTGATGTAGTACAGCCCTGAGCTCCTTAAGACTTCATAGGTCAAAACCAGCAATTTGAATTAGGCCCAGAAACGAACTGGTAGCCAGTACAGTTAGGCCATGACATGTTTTGTGCTCAGACCCATCTTTCCCCAGTGAGCAACCTGGCTATCAAAAACAGAAAGTGGTGTGGGTGAGCCCCAAGAATGTTCAGTAGCATGTATTTGAACAGGGCAAAGTGTTTATTTTAGGTGCTGATAGAAGCCTAGTGGTCCAGGACTGAGGGAATACCAGGGGATCATCTTACCCCAAAAGCAGTGTCTATGGGCTATCTAGTATATGGGGGAACTAGAATAACTTGTTTTCATAGAGCTCACAATTAAATGAGTCAGATCTAGAAAAAAGAGACAGCATTTCCCAGGACAGCATGATGGCCAGAAGAGAAATATGGTTATTCCAAACCAGTCACCCTCATCACATTAGGCTGCTTACTTTAAAGCCACACTGGGGCACTCAAGGGAAGGCAGAAGCCAGAAATTATGAGGGGTGGGTTTCAGAGGAAAGAGGTTGGGTCTTTGATGTACTGAGTTTGAGACAATGATGGCTGTTTCCACTGGGATGCTTCAAGAAACAAATGGATATTTGGGATTGGAAGGAGGGAGAAAGTTCTGTAGAAAGGTAGGATCAGATATATGAAAAGCACAGGCTGCTATCAGGTTTTGAATACATACACATAGTAAGCATCTCTTTACTGGATACACACAAGATTTTTTGTGCACAAGTTAAACTTGTGTGGCTGACTTTTTAAAGCTGTTCTTCTGCATGAGAAAAATGGTGGAAATTTAAATAGACTTTCTCTTTGCTTACCTTGCACTTAACTGAGCAGAAAGGAGCCAAGTCCATTACTTCAGGAAATTTTATGTGCTTGTTCACTTTTTGGAGATTATATCCAGTCTAGAAGGATAGCAGAGACAGTGGCAAATAAAATGCATAAAAATGACACAATCTAGTGATTTAAGAACAAAGCTTCTGATCTTCAAGACAAGAATTCTTATAAATTTAAATTATTTCTTTTATAGCTCAAATATACTTGTAATATGGCAATAAGAATTTTCCCAGTTTCTCTCTCGAGCATTTTCCTGTTAGCAATGCTGCTTACAGTGATGAAGGCAAGGACTTAAAACTTATTTTACAGAAACATTTATACCTGTTGAAATCTTTTTAAATGAAGCGTTAGAATTGGAGGAGCGAGAGAAATAAGCATTTGTTTTTTGGCATTAGTGTATACATGTTTCTTGACGTCTGCAGAACAAAAGAAAAAAAATGATTTATTAGATTTTAAAGAATGCCGTCATGGAATTGTTCTAATGCAATATAACATTTCACATAATTTGAGACTTCAGGCATGCTAAAACTTTGACTGCTTTGACTGAAAAGAGCTCAATTTATGCTACTCCGATTCTGAGCTCATGTTTAATAGAGCTTTTCACAATGACCTTTATAAATGTGTAACACTCATAATACAAACAAATTAATGTATACCAGCCTTTACCAACTTTGTACCTTGAAGATGTTTTTGACTACAGCTCCCATCAGTCCAAGCTGGAAGCTTGGGAACTGTGGTCCAAAACATCTGGAAAACAACTGTTTTTGAATAAACAAATATCAAAGCTGCTACTCCCATTCAGTTTTGTCACTATGTGATTAGTTTTCAAAAATACAACTTCAGCCAAATTGTATACTCACTCTAAACGACTATCTCCAATTCTCTAGGATTACTTAGGACACTACTACATGCAGTTGTCTATGCCTTTATAACAGCTATACACGCACTTCCAACTTCCCTCCCTGCTCCCTGTGAAGTCATATATGCTAGGCTGACATGGTAAGAAAATATTTAAGAGCATACTTTTTCCAGAGGTCTTTGGTCCACAAACTTGCCTCTGTGTGCATATATCACACAGCAGTTTATTGTTCTCACAAAGTTTCTCATTATGAGTGAACTGATACAAGCAATGAAGCACTGAACCTTCTTCTGTGTTCATAGCTTCTCTGTTTGCAAGGGTACAAAATGCTGTTTCTGGATCCTCATTTACTACTTCATACATTTTTGTCTCAGAATCGTGAAGATCATTCAAGCTTTCTGAATCGTCGCTAGGCTCTTCATCCAAGGATAACTTGTTAAAGCCATTGGTAATATCCTCATCTTCATCAAGACTATCGTGTTTGGCAGGCAGATTGTCACGTTTATTAATACACTGTACAGCAGAAACCAAGCCTTCTGTGGTAACAGCCATTGTGGCTTCATTGTTTGCCTCTTGGTCAGAACTTCCTGTATTTTCATTCTGTACTTCAGTTGTTCCCTCTTGCTCATTCATACTCTCTTTCTGATCCATGCACTGCTCATCCCATGGGTTACATGACTCCTCGTCTTGTTTTAGGCTGGTACCCTCAGAATCATTTCCTACAGTTTCACTGCTGCAATCATGATCACCTTCCATTTTTTCAGTGGCACAGATATCTGTTAGTGGGATTACCTTTTCTTGCATTTTTTGCTGGCGGCGTTGGCTCTGTCAAAGGAAATACAAGAAATTAAGGGTACCAAAAGGACAATTATCCTAATTTGTGCTGCATAGAGATATATAAAACGATATGGCATTTAAGTTTGGTATAAACTGAGCTTCCAAGTTAATTTACATATAGATGCTCTTATGAGCTGTAAGCAGTAAGGCTGTCTTCAAACTTAAGGCCAAACCATAATCTGGTGTAGATGAAATAGTTCGGTAGTTCAGCCAAAGGAACTTAAAACAACAGGTAAAAATAAGGGATTTACAACAATTTGTGGGAAGGAAGCACCTAAGACAGGGATGGGAACCTGTGGCTCTACTAGCTTGGCTACCCCCCCCCCCCCAATCATCCTTCATCACTGGCCATTCTGGCCAAGGCTAAAGGAAGCTGAACAAGGGTGGTCCTCCCTGCTGTTTTAAGAGCACATATTCCACCATTTTACAAATTAGCAATCTCCTTGACAATTTGCCATGTTGCCTAGAATAATGCCAATGCTCTCTCAACACTTGGTTAGCAGAGACAGAATGTGGATGGGGATGCCTATCGGAAAGTAATGCAGTACAAATATATGCATTTAGTCACATATGCTCAACTTTAAAAACTGGACTGAGGTGAAAATGAGTCCAGATGAGCAATGAAACAGCCAGTGCAATCTGGCAAGATAGAGCACTGGCCTTAATGCCTGGGCAACAGGGATGCATACCTTCTATTCTATTCAGAATAAGAGCAGTAAGAGGCCTGTGTTCACTATCAGTTATATGGCTACATTGCAGCGTAATATGTTTGTTAGGTGATCCGCGACTGTCATGTGATTCTGCAGTGACGAAGTCTTTACAAGTTAAACAGATGCGCAAACAGTAGGAGATGGGAGAAAAACACAGCCTGTGTAAAACAGGAGTAAGCAACTGCACAAGAGTAGGAGAATGGGGGGGGGGGAGGGCTTTCTTAACTCCCCTACCAAAACCCTACAATGCTCAGTGCAGTACTAGTAGCAACTCTTCAACCATCCGTATTTAAGAGGTAACTGTACAGAACTGCTTTCTGCTTTGCTACTCTACTAACCTTTGATTGCTTTTTGGCCATTTTCTTTGCCTTTTTCAGGAGATGCTTACTTGTACCAGGAGTCTCCTCTCTCTCCTTGAAATAACAATCATTCCCTGTGTTGTCTTCTTCATCTTCAATCTCTTTTTCCTGCATCTTTCTAACATTATTATTATTACTGGGTTTTTTCTTGCCACCCTTAAAAAGAAAGCGATAAACAGTTCAGAGACATGGTGGGACGTCAACCCCAATATTTGGGTTGAGACTGGCACATCAAATGAACAAAGGAAAACAGGATGGGGGAAAAGGGAATATTCAGCTGGATATTTCTACCGTTCACAACAAATTTAAGAACAATGGGTAGGGCTTTGCTTTACATACTATCTCACTGATGAAGGCAGGAGAAACCAGCATGCCAAGCACTGCTGCCGATGTTGCTGGACTACATTTCTGACCACCAGCTGGGCTTATGGGAGTTGGACAATTTCTTGAGGGGTAAAGGATCCTCGTCCCTGCTGCTTTAGCAGGGAGGAATGATTTACTCCATTAGCTTTTTAGGAACCCCATATAAGTGATGGGCTTGAGAGCAAGCACCCATAAAATGTAATAAATGGTAGTACACATATAAATTTGTACAGCTGCATGCCTGATTTTGGAAATTCTCTTACTGCACACTTCACTGTCCCACCCCCCCTAAAAAAATGGAAGACTTTCTCGAAGCATATCCCTTGAAGTACACGGCACCTATGCTGATGGGTAAGGGGAATCAGCAACCCCTCTCCTCATATATGCAGAACTTTCATCCAGTGGATGCCTCTGCTACTGACAGAAGATAGAAATCAATTTCATATTATTCTCTCTTCTGCAATCCTATGCTATCTTCCATGCTGTTCTGGAGGGTCTCCTGCTTTTTGGAAATGATTTTCAGGGGATTCTTGGGGCTGGAGGTGGAATTGGCAAAAATTGCTTCCCTTCCTCTTCTTTTAACAAAGACGTCTACTAGATCAAAAGCTCTTCTGTGAGCACAAGGATACCAACTGTAGAATGACTTCTGTTTGCACAATTGAAGTTCTCCTCCCACTCCTCTCGCTGAACCCCCCACCATCTGCTCTGGAGGGCTGGGGGAGTTGTGGGAAGCATGTGGGGGAAACAGAGGGAAGGGAAGTTTTGATGCACAAACGAAGTCATTCCATGAGCACAACAGCCTAAAAACAAAAGCAATCTGATCTTACCTCATTTAAGACAGGGAGTGACAAATCAAGGAATGACTCGTGCACTAATGAAATCTGAAATACACATTTTATCATAGTATTAGAAAAATCGCCTGAGTTTAAGAACAACCATTATATCTTCAGTTATGTGAAAATAAGTTTATTGAAAAATAATCCCCAGCTTCGAGGAGTGAGAGAGAGTGCTCAAAGCTAAGAGTAGGTGCCAAAGAAGGATAAGAAGTCCCATTCTTGAAAGTAGGAAAGCAAGATACAAAAGCAGACTGGGCTGCTATTATTGCTCTATTCTTTTGCCTGAATGTAAATACCAACATTTTTTGGAATTACAAGTAAAAGCCAATAGGTGACTGGAAATCTTATACAGCAGCTCCTCCAGCTTATAAGATTTCCAGTTCTGCAAGAACACTTATAGAACTATAGGATATACTCATGCACACTTCATTCCCCCATCAAAGGTAGTGTCTGGGATGTAGGTCATTATAGAAATCTCAAGTCAGCAACAGCAAAGAGAGCCTTTGTGTCATTCTGCTTGCCACCAAATTTATAAGCTATTTAGGTTGTATCAAAAAGGAAAGCCACTTACAGTTTGGCACTCCTCACACATTATTGTGCTTGTTAATTCTCCACCAAAAATACGGTCCACAAAGCTCAGTGTCACCTTTCCCTTTTCATACTCTGAAATATTAAGAGAAAACATTAAAACTTTATCTTGATCTGAAGATGTTATTGTATGAAGAGCTACACTGAGTTGAACAAGATGATACCCCCACTCCCAACCAATGAGCATCATGAAGACATTATAGCCCCTTAGGAAAGGAGAAGTGAAATGGAGTTGAATAATAGTTCCCAATGGCACAGTGAACATTCCTATATATTAATTATTGTTTTTCTTTCTCCATTGAAAAGATGGGTTGGAATCGAAAAAGATCCAAAGCATTTGCTCACGTCCACTGGAATTATTAAACACATGAAACAGCCCCACTTCCCCATATCACAACCTGCTTTTGAAAGTGCTTTCGACTGCCAAGCAATTTTGATGCAACTTTCAGTTATTTATTTATCAACAAGGATCTGGTGTGAGTGGAAAGCACCTCTGCATGCACATAAGGCAGGAAGAAAATTAATTTTCCCAATAATTTCCCCTGGCACTTATCACATCCTTTTCTGGAGAATCCTCAGCAGCCTTTTTTGTGGTTGTGATAGGGCAGAATGTGCATATGTTTCATATGCAACTCTTTGGATACCAAAATTAATAAAGAAACAATGCCCAAGGTGAGGAACTGATAGAAGTTATTACCTTTGATTTTCTTTTTTAGTTCTTCATTTTCTTTATCAGTAGAATTATTCAGTGCCTTAAAAATTCCAGCAGAAATACGCTAGAAATAAATATAATTGTAAATTGTAACAAAGCTAAACATTTCTGTTGCTGTTTATTCTACTAAACATCAAGTTTAATCACCACCTTAACAGTCAAAACAGATAGCTACTCTACATATTCCTGTATTATAAAGCAGGGGTTTCCAAGCGTTTGGGGCCTATGGGCACATTTGCCAATACTGAAAGGTGTCATGAAATAAATACTCTCCATTATAATTAATATACACATATTTTTACATTTCTGATTCTGTGACAGCCCAATTTCATGCATATTTACTCAGAACTAAGCACAGACACCTTTCCCAGCAAGCAGCAGTGGATGGCGCGGTGGGGCTGAACCACCCACTTGACCTTTGTTTTGCCCAACCATTCTCCTCAATGCTCTTTGTGCACTAAGAGGACAGGGAGTTCCAGGCTGCAGACATTCTGTACTAGATACTTACCTGGATTTCTTCTGTTCGCATCCCATCTAATAAATAGCGAAGCAATTCCTGGCTGTCTTGCTGTTGATAACCTTTAAATCGTATAGCTCTGTTAAATATAACAACATAAAGGATAAAGATTTAAATTCAAAATATTACAGTAAGGACATAGAAACATTTTAAAAGTGGGAAAATAACTTGGTAGGGAAAAACAAAGGCTCACATCACTTAACAGCTCTCCTTTTGTTTTTTACATTATTCTAGGAAGTTATAAAAAAGAAACTTCCTTGTTTCATTTTATTGTTCCTTACATAATTTTGGCAGTCATCATAAAGATCAAACATGTTCTTAAATAATGTACTGCACAATAATGTACAGCACAATCCTTTGCATGTCTAACTAGAAATCGATACCCCTGGCCTTGGTAATGGTTTACCATGAATGTGGTAATCTTGGTTGCTTTGCTCCTCCCAATCATGGGTGAGGGAACAAGCCATGATCCCTGGCTTGGGGTTATGTCCAAACCAGGGGTTGTGATTTGTTTCATTCCCAGCAAACCATAATCTGTAGGCCTTTTCTTGGTCACTGTGGCATAAACTAATCAGGACTGAAACTGAGACATGTGGACACGAAGCCTGTTTTCAGCTTCAAGTATTTATAAGACAATGCTAACATCTCATGATGTACAGGAAGAAATACAACCTAAAATGCCTTAACCCAATCAAATTGCTCTATAGACCAACCAATATATGCAATTCACTGTTTTATGTAAGCTTTTCAATATTAACATTACAACTCAGGCAGATACTCACTTTTTACAGATCTGAGAGAAGAGTTCTTTGGGGGTCACAGTTCCTTTTTTAGTCTCTTGCATTTCTGTCAGAAACTGACACATGGCTAGTGTAAGAGGTCTTGGCTGACCAAGTGTAACTACCATGGGTTCCTGAACATCACACAAAAAGAGCATTTGTATTACATACATTTTAAAAAGTAATTTGCCATTCATTCATTTGAAGCAATATAGAAAAACATCTGGATTGCCCTCAACAAAATGTGTCTTTTTGTAAATTTTGTAGCCTGTATGCAGCGCGGCACTGGAATTTCTGCCCCTCTCCTTCACACAGCTAGTCATGAGGGTCAGGGAACCATGAGGAAAGAAAATGCCTGGGACATGGGTCAAGGGGTTGAAAAGGAGCTATCATGGGTGCCTGGCCTGAAGAATAACCATGTGAATTTCATAACACCTGCCTGAAAAGGAGAGTCTTCAGTGGTGGAAGCTGGTTTGCTTTCTGAAGCTAATTAAGGCTAAACACATCTGTTCAGGCTTGGACATGATGCTCAACTGTGGTTAGCTAGAAACTGAAATGAAAGCTTCTGATATCGACATTATAACACAGGAGCAGGATGAGGTAGTAAATGAGCCTGGGGCTTATTCATATAGCACTAAGCCATTGCATCTGAAGCAGGCCACTGCGTCAACTGACCTGGCCATCCCCAAAATTCAGACACAGGCTTTTTGGTAAAGCTTGCTTAAATCCACCTCTTAAAAATTTTAATACACCATAAAACATACCGTTATTGAGAATTCTGGTGGTTCAAGTGTAACTGCCAAGTCCGGCATTTTAACCTCCTTTAGCAGCTCTCTCAGAACTGGTGTTTGTGATAAGTTCTGCAGGGAATTTTTTTTTAGAGTCAATGATTAACACGTTTGGGAACTCACTGTCATACCTAGAAACATTTCCTTATGTTCAAAATCCTTTTGAGACCACAATTTATTCAAATAAAGGCAGCGAACAAGATTGTCAGCAAGAAAAATGACAATCATTTTCCCACAAAAATTTTCCCACTTCTCCACCTCACGTTAAAGTAATTCAGGACAAAGCCTACCCTAAGAGGTTTTGTTCCCCAGCAATCAGACAAATGCATTCAGGATAATACATTTCATCATACTGGCTATACAGGGATTTAAAAGATAAGAGCTTGCAACTTGATATTTGTCAAGAAACAGAACTGGTAAGCAATGAAGCTCCTGTTGCTACTTCAGCACAAATGGGGATGGGGGGAGATCAGGAATCTAGGAATTGCTAGGAATCTCCACCATACCTGCAGAACTGCATTAAAGAAACAGGTATTCCCCAGGTTACTGAGACCCTTCACTGTCACTTCTGCATTGCCATTTAAATGAAGTTTGTTGTCCTTCATCAATATCTCTTTTTTCTCCCTCTCTTCCTCATTTAGGTGGTCCTTTATTTTTTTGTTTTCCAGTGGCTTGTTTTCTTCTTCTTTTGATGCTGAAATAAAAACAATTCATTTTGTCTCTCAAAATACAACAAACCGAGAGATGTTAGGATGCAGCAATTACTAATACTACTCAGAGAAAAGCTAGACCTCCTAGCGTTTCTAGTACATTCTAGTCTGGAAGGTGACAGTGAACAAAAAACCCATCAATTTCTAAATCAGTAGCCACGTCCCAATGATGTCAGAACTTACCTGTATTCTGCATGTTCACATGTGCTTGTTTTCTAACATAATCCACAAGCTGGCCCAATTGACCATTACTATTGTATGGCACGTCGTTGTCACACAAATAGCACCTGCGTCCACAAAAAGGAGAAAAACAGATTAATAAAAAAACACCCAGAAGCCCAGTGCAGCTGGCTTCAAAATAAAGTGCATATCATGATGTAGATACATTTCAAATAAAGTTGTATTCACATATGATATGAAAGCGGTTATCAGAGCCTTTAAAATATATATATATATAAATATATATAATCAGCTAGAATTTTGCAGTTCTTTACTACAAAATGTCCAGCTACTAAGTTCTCAGCAGCTGTTGTCTATGACCAAAAATTTTGCACAGTAGACAAATACAGCAATTTTAAGACTAAACTTGGTATATTGTATAAATCAAGGAATTAAATCTATATTAGAAGCAAATTCTAGTAAGTTCACTTAGAAGTCCCACAGAGCCGCAGAGTTCTTATTTCCTAATAAATCAATACAAGATTAACACAATCTTAGTACTTTATTATTGCTACTAGTTATGTATTATTTAATCCTTAATTTCTGATGTATAAGCTTTCGTGTGTGTGCCAGAGATATTTATAAACAATTTACAACATAAGCGCTATGACAAGATGGGGAAGGGGTGCAGAATCACTATAGCGGTGAGCCTCTCAAGAAAATAGAAAGCATTTATGATAAGCCATGTTACTGCCACTGAAAATATGAAAGAATGTTTGTAGTCTGGGATGAATTACAAGGCACTTAATTAGTATGACAACACAAGAATTTAGTTAGCGATTCCCTTTTTTGTTATATGTTGCACGCCATGTGTGCTGGCACATATTCAGAATAAGAGCTCCATAATGGTTTCTATAGGAAGATGGTGTAAGAGGAACCCCTCATACAGGAGGAAGAGAGAAAACTAAGTATGCAGCCAAAGCATGATAGAAATGGTAAATAAAATAAGTCAGGTACACTGCACAAAAGGTTACATAATTATTCCAATAACTTTTTTTTTGGGGGGGGGAATGTATTCTTCTAACTGGAATATTGACAAACTCACCACACACTCCAGTTGTCCAAACTGAGAACCAAACAATGAGGTTCTGATCTTGGTGTTTCATAATGCTTTATGGCATGTTTTTCTTGAGAATTTCTGCCACAGCCCTGGAATAGCAACAGTTGCAAATACAATAAAGGTTGCAAATCAACAGTTATTGAATTAAACTTTTTAAAGTGAAACCTTCAAATAGTTGCAATAAGGAATAGTTCCACTATAAGGAGTACTGTTCAGTGCTAATGAAACAAAGCAGTTATACATTTCCCACCCTTGGTATGCATATTATAGGGAAAGAAATACCGTGTGGCCACATTTCAGGCATAACCATATTGAAGGTCCGTCTTCTGCTTTCTCTTCAGATTTCTCACAGGTCTCACTGTCTGATGTTCGGCAATCCTGGCAGGAGCTCCAGTCCACATTCTGCAACACCTTTTTCAGGCCACCTTGTTCCAATCCTTTGCGAAGGTGCTTGCATACAGGTTCTATTGGGAAGTTTCAACAAGGCAAGGCAAATTTAAAAGGGACATTATTTAGAATGAATGTGGTGTAGGGGTAGAAATACTCCAATCTCTGCTGTACAGTGCAACTCTCCAGGTGGCTTTGGGCAAATTATTGTCCTGCAACCTAACCTACCTCACAGAGTTGTTGTGAGAACAAAAATGATACAATTCTACATCTGCCACAGTAGCTTCCTGGGTGCACAGTGAGACACTGGTGTGATTAATGAACAAAAACCTAAGACATATAGCCAAAGAACTGTGAGAAGAAGTAATAGTTGCTGGTGCTGCTCTACTAAGCAGAGCTTGTGAACTTTGTACAAAATGAAAGCTCTATAGCTCTTTGAGCAAGACCTGCTTTATTTGTTCTTAAAACATTTTTTCTTTAAAAGAATCAGGTGTCTTCCTTTAACTGCATGATCTTATATAACCCAGTATCACTGCCTTCTTTCTGACATGGTCTTAATGCTCTGTCCTTTCCCAAGCCTCATTCCAATGTCCTATTTTTGTCATATATCCATCAAAAGAGATTTAATAGCTGAACAAATGGATATTATTTATTTAAGAATCGGAAATAATGGGGTCACAAGCACAGCAAACCTGTTTTTACACAGGGAGGTTCAGGCAGGAGTAGAAAAGTAATCATGCCATTTTATACTGAGGATAAAGCTACACTGCTGTTTAATCTTCTCATCATGACTATGATCATAGAGCATCAGGGTTCCAAGCTAATTGTCAGATGTTTTGTCCCAATTCAGATAAAACTAGGCAATGAAGTCAACAGGAGTCAGGCAAACGTAAATGTTAACCCATAAATTTCACTGAGAAGGGCAAACCTTTCCCTGGAGTCAAACCTTTGGCAAGTCCAAGGCCTACTGTAAATTAAATCTTTAGATTGCCCCTTAAATGTGAATTTAAATACTCTACATGATTTGATTTGCACTAGGACAAACACCTTTGAGATATTACACTTCTGCCAAGGAAATAAGAGTATAAACTCTTTCTTCCTCGGAGCTATGAAACTGATTGACAGTATTACAATTACAAAGCATACCTGCTATATCCGGTGAGTCATCTGGTGGCATGTTTTTCCCCTTTGTTCGTCTTTTTCCCATGCTGCTGCTCCAAGGTTTTATTTCACATCAAACATTTATGGCCTAAAAGAGAAAGAAATATTATCATTCTCAATTTTGAAGGAGACCTAAAAAACTAAAAGCAACTACACTAGAAGACATTCAAGACCCAATTCCTCAAGGTGATGGTAACTCTGAACATAATGATGTGCCATGGAGCAAGTGGGGTAGAGTTTGTGTCACCAGTTATATTTTCCTTTCTTGTATATCAGTCCTGGAAATTGAGGTTGAAAGTGGCAAAACTGCAACCAAGCAAGCCCAAAATCCAGCTGAAAGGTTTGCACAAAGTACTGTATACAAATTTAACAGCAGAATACATTTTAGGAATATATTGGGCATATTCAGATAACCAAATATCAGCTTGAGAAGCTGAGATATGCATGAGCTTCAGGCACTTGCATGTAGCCACACTGCTCCCCCCACTTCAGGAAACTTCACTTAATCATAGCTTCTCATTACACTTGAACCGGGAAACTATTATTTTTTTGCTTGATTGCATGCCATTTTTTGACATCGGCTTCCATATCCTGACTTGTTTAGAAGCTGCTAACCAGTTTCAAATCTGGACATAACTGGAAGCTATGGTTAACTGTAGGTTACTTGTCCTGTGAAGAAACAAAGCTGTTACCAGAAGGTTATTTGTATCTTGGCTTATCAAGCCAAGATTTGATCCCTTAAATGTGCCACTGTGTACAGGAAGGCTGCAACTCAATGAGAGTGCTCATGCAGTCTATTATATAACATTGGACTTTTGACTGCAAAGATACTGAGTTCAAATCCATGCTTAACCCTAAAGCTCTCTGGGTGGTCACAGGCAAGTCATTTTTTCTTTGTCACAATAGTGTTGTTGAGAGGATAAAATGGGAGAGCACCCTGTGTACTTCCTTGAGCTTCTTTGGGGAAAAGTAGGATATAAATGTAATAAATAAAATTACTGACATGCATACAAGTGCGACAGATAATATTTCAGAGACTAAATATGAAGTGAGGTGTCATGTTCTAGTACAGCAGGTTAAGCTAGTCTGATGGGATATCACATACTAAACTACAAAATGCTACAATATAAGGGCGTGGATTTAGATCAGAGCTTTCCAAACTTTTCAAGTTGGTGACACACTTTTGGGACATGCATCATTTCTCGTCACAGAAATTCAGTTTTACTAGCAAACCAGAGCTTAAACTAACCCTTTGACCCCAGGAGGAGCGCAGGGAGTGTTCATGCGACACACCTATACACTGCAGCCGACACACTAACGTGTCGTGACACACTGTTTGGAAAGCTCTGATTTAGATACTTTAAAATGTACTCTCTGTTGTATTGGGAACACTCAGAAACAGGTAACGTTCTGCAACAGAAAAGATTAGGGAACATGTTTATTTGCCAGCACAAACTTCAGTAGTACAGGTTTTGGTGGTCTTGATTTGTTGTTACCTCTACCACATATTCTACATGCTTGTACATATTTTGCTCCTATTGTTGCTGCTTCCCTTGGCAAATGACAGGTTAGCCTGATTATATAGAACTTACATTCTATTTTGGAAATTATCCTGAGAAACATGTGACTTAGCTTCATGTGTCCAATATGGAATAGCCAGGACACAGAGCAAACTTTTGACTATTTAAAAAAATAATCTGAACAACAAAGATCCGCTGGCCATGCCTATAGCAGCTTTCAGATCCTAATCTTGGTTTTTGATTTTTTTTTTAACACAACAGTAATCAGAAAGGTAAATGCATTTTTGTGTATGTTAACTATGAACAGTTTAGGGCTGTTCATATTCCAATCCCCATAGACTGCCTGCACAGTGGGGATACATGCTGACAAATAAATACACTTTCTGCAAATACAGTATAACTGTACTGCTGTAGGGATTACTCAAGAATGACTACTGTGACATCTTTACATATGTTTTCAAAATAGTCTACCTACTCTGGCTTCTCCTCCCTACAAAAACAAATTCAGTGTACGTCGAGTCCCTGGAGTACTTTGCTCAACTTTCTGCACTATTACTCACCACAATCTCTGGGGTGGAAACAGCACTCCTGGAAAAGGGAAGAGCAGTCTTTTACATTGATGTAAGTCCATATTACAAGTCCATATTTCTGCTTCTTTCTCATTTTTAACTCAATTAGTTTCCCAGAATTCTGGAGTTGGAAGGGATCCCAAGGGTAATCTAGTCCAACCCCCTGCAATGCAGGAATCTTTTAACCCAACATGGGGCTTGAAACCACGACCCTGAGATTAAGAGTCTCGTGTTCTGATAGGAGTTAAACACAATTCAGGGCATAAAGTTTTAAATTTAAGGCCCTTTCCTACGACATAAGACAAGTAAATGCTCACACAAGCATTGCTATTGAGCAGTTTGGGACACATCCTCATTCCCTTGCATCCACTGAATTATTAGCAACTGGGATGCTATGAGGGGAGGAAAACACCTGTTTCTTCACAAGTGTGTTACTGCTAGCATTTTATGGCATACAAAATGTTAGAAGCAGTACCCTTCAACTCTCTATATTGGACAAACAGGCCAAACCCAATGCCAAAGGATAAATGAACAAAAAACTGACATCAGGAATCACAAGACAGAGAAACCAGTAGGACACCACTTCAATCTCCCAGGACATCCAATACAAGATCTCAAAGCAGCCGTCGTATTACAAAAGAATTTCAGAAATAGACTTGAAAGATAAGTTGCTGAATTACAACTTATTACCAAACTGAAAACTACGGAGAGACCTAGTCTGAATAGAGATATTGGATTCTTGTCTCATTACACACGCTAAAGCTATTTTTGGTCATCTGCATACTATCCCTTGCTTTTTCCTGTAGGACTAATTGCAGTCGTCAACATGTTTACCATACCCATTGAGCCAATCACCCATCCCCTACTACCCTACTGAGAAATACCCCACCCCACCGTCCCACTATATGCAGTGGATGCCCGGGTTGCAAACGTGATCTGTGTGGGATGCATGTTCGCAACCTGCATCTGCGCATGCACGGGTTGCAATTCGGCGCTTCTGCGAACACCAAAACCCGGAAGTAACCCATTCCAGTACTATCGGGTTTTGGTGGTCCGCAACCTGAAAAGGCTGTAACCTGAGGTATGACTGTATAAGGGTCTGGTGACTTCTGCTTCAGTGTATCTGAAGAAGTGTACATGCACACGAAAGCTTATACCAGAACAAACTTAGTTGGTCTATAAGGTGCTACTGGACAATTTAAAAAGACAATTTGAAATATAAAAAACCACAAATAAAACCAAGTGTTGGGAATACTGTACTGTAAATAGCTAACCTGCCCTGCACGCAGACCTTAAAACCAGTGAAAACATTTCCCTACAACTTCTTTTGACCAAACTGCGGGAGGCAGTGGAAGACAGGAGTGCCTGGCGTGCTCTGGTCCATGGGGTCACGAAGAGTCGGACACGACTAAACAACGACGACTTTTTATCCCCGTGACTTGCTTGGCCAGTGCCATTTCCTTAGCGCACGTTAATGGCAGGGAGCGCGCTCAAATTATTGCGGAGGCCAAATCCTGTCTTTCCCAAAGCCTGCCTTTCCATCTTAAGAAAATAGCCCCCCTGCGAAACTTCCGCATGTCCTGCTGCCTTTAACAGGCGCAGGACCAAAGACCAGCAAGAGAATTGGCCACTTTCCTTAACCGGACACGGAGTGCTGCACTTCTTGGACCCAGCTCGTGTTCCTGCGCAGTCACACAAAACCTTGTCCTCCCCTCCCTTCATGCGCAGGAGTAGAGCCCTTCAGAAGTTGGCAGCCTCAGGTTGGAAGGGCAAAATATTCTGCCTCTCCAAGAAAGCCAAGCCAAGGCAGACCTGGCACTGCCGCCGCCGCCTCCTTTACGACTACATGGGCTTAAGAGGGATGGTACTACTCACCCGCAAGCCCTTAAGCGAAAAGTCTGGTGAAGGAGATACAAATAAAGCCCCGCGACAGCACCCCGCATGCCTGGAGAGACCACTGCTCCGTGGCAGCCTCTGCGGCGCGTCACCGTCTGAGAGTCGAGGGAGAAACACGCAGCTCGCGAATGGCCCAGCTCTCCTCTCCCTTCAGAAAACGAGCTTCGCTGCAATTTCTACTAGAACGCGCCGCAACTTGCCGGGTGGGAGGCAGTCCCCAGCTTTGATTGGTCACGTCACCTTAACCCCGCCTAGTCTGCCCTTACTGACAAAAGCCAGAGCCAATAGGAAAACGGTCCTGCGCTGCGTCACGGAGAAGACGAAAGTAAATGAAGCGGCCGGTGAGGGCAAAGTGGGGCGGGGGGAGGGGAGAGAGCGAGCAACTGCGCAGCATGGGGCGAAGGAGTCCCGAGGTGTCGCCCGCGCTCCTTAGCCGGAAAGAAACGTCCCGGATTTAAACGGTTCGCGACCTATCTCTGCGTCTGAGGTGGATATTTGCGGCGGATATTAACAGTCCTGTAGAGCGGCACAAAAAAAGGGGGGGGAAGCAGTTGACGGTTCGCCGAGCATAGATTTCTTACCGTAGAAGGGCCGCTTTGCTGAGCAGGAACTTCCGGTGCGTTGGCTGCCGGGAAGGGACTCCCTGGGAGGAAGTCTGTGGTCCAGATCTAAAGTGAAGCGAAGGATAAACAAGCCACACCGAGTCCAGCTTCCGGGTTCGCTGTGAACTTTCCAGGGCAGAAGGGAAGGGTGTTCGTAGGCGGGAACTTTGCTGAGAAATCCAGGTTTTTAGTGTGGTTTTGGCCAGCGTGCTCTCCCCCCCCCCCCATCACAAGGTAGCAGCAAAGGCAAGCGGTCACGATATCTTAATTTGGGATCGGGTGGAGCTCGATTTATATTTCCGTGTATTTGTATCTAACAATATGGAAACAGGGTCATTGGAGTCCTACTAACAATAAATCAGTTGATTGCAGTGGTTCTATCCTATCACTAACATGGAATATCAACTCTTAATCAGAAAGAAAGAAATGCCCTGATGACTGTCTGCTTACACAGAAACGAAAGTGCCGAATTTAGGATGACCTGGATAGTTGGAAATATGAAAAAATGTAGGGTTGAGTGTTTCAACATCCGGGGCTGCAATCCACATACACTGCTATGGAGACTGTATTGCTTCTGAGTAAACATGCATAGAATTGCTGTGTGAAAATGTAAATGAGCAGCTAGTGCAAAAGGCATATCTATTTAACATTTGATTGGATAAAGGCTCTGGCTATGTGGTAGATACTTCTGAGTAAACATGCATAAGAATGTGCCACGTGGCCCATGCTTATGCAATCTTTTTCAGGCGCTGATCTAAATTTTTCCAATGTATACCTCAAATCTTTGTTAACTGTTCTTTGGAAACTCATATAACCTACAAGATACACTCATCAGTGATCCATAATCCGTGAACCTAAGGCTGTAGCCCTGTATCCACTTACTTGGGAGTAAATCTCGTATAACTCCATATGACTTGTTGCTGAATATGCATATACAGGATTGCACTGTAAGGCTGCAGTCATATGCAAGTTTATCTGGGAGTATCAGAGTGATCCTCATCCTGGTTAGAGATCAGAAAAGTAGCTGATTGCCCCTTGCATCCCAAATCCTGTTGGCTTGGAACTGGCCAGGTCAAAATATGAGTGTGTGTGTGTGGTATTTTTCTGTATGAGTTTTGCTATTCTAGCTCCTGGCTGGCATAATATAGGCATAGTCCACAAGGTTTTGAATCTAGTTTATCCAAAGATGCCTCCTCCCACAGGCAGTAGGGTAACTACTGGCAGTAGCTTTTCACTTGAAACTTGGGTCTTTGCTGCACCCCCCCCCCACCTGAGGAAACTACTACTTGCTATCTTAAACTTCAGTATTGGGTTGTGTGTAGGAATGCACTGTAAACCATACTCATCACAGTGAACATGCATAGGATTGGGATGCAAATTTACAATCCAATGCAGTCATTTGGAAGTAAATGTGCATATTATTGGGCTGCCAATAAAATAGATGTTGATGGGAATCTGTGTTTCAATTCCTTCAATGTGGAAAAATGACAGAAATTAATGGTAATATCCTGGAACCAGTTAAAGATTTCATGTGTTTGTCCCATCAAATATAGCCATATACAGCACCAGAAGCTGCAAATACTAACACTATTTCCCTCTAACTTGTTTAGGAATCACATAAACATATTTAAAATGAGCAACTTGGAAGAGGCTGAACTACAACTTTCTGAATTAGATTTGCTTTCTAGTATGTTCCCCAATGAAGATGAATTTAAAGTGACTGACCAACTGGCTTTAGCAGAACTGAAGGATCACATTGACAGATGCACCTCGGAAGTGCCATCATCAAAAATACAGTTTACATTGAATTTAGAATTAGACACTGCAGATGGAAATAAGGTAAGGCATCACCATTCTGAATGAAGTATGGTATTTGAGACTAGATATTTAGTAATCTCTGTTTCTTTGAATTCCTTTCTAGATTCCACTTTCTTTGTTTTGTGCTTTCCCATTAAAATACCCAGCTGTTCTTCCAGAAATTACTATCAGGTACTACATATTTTGATACAGAGAAAAGTGGCCTAAAGGTTGAAATGCATTGTTTATTCTGTTGCAATATAAAGTTTGCATTTAACTGTCTTATGCAGTATAATAAGTCTAATGACTGCAGTGAGAATTCAGGGATTTATCCTCCCCCCCCCCAAAGCAAATGGAATCTTTAAACTTTATCCCTCACACACAAAGAAGAAAGAAAGGGAAGGAGATTGTGTGAGCCTAAGGTCACCCTAGAGCATTCCCAATAATTAAGGAAAACTAGATTCTTCCATTTTTTAAACCCTTTCATTTGTATTCTAAACAATGCCATCATTCCTCCCCCTTTAGATCTCCATCTATAAGCCGATCACAGCAGGTACAGCTGAACACAGATCTTATAACCTACTTGAAGACACACTGTGCTGGTGAAGTCTGCATATTAAGTACAAGAGAATGGATTAAAGAACATGGCACTGCTTACATCAGCAGAGATCCCTCATCTTCCAGCATGATGAAATCAAGTATTCAGAAGTCAGATAATGTTTTCACTAGACTATGGATTTACAGTCATCACATTTATAACAAGCACAAAAGAAAGAATATAGTTGATTGGGCTAAGGAACTCTCTCTGTCTGGATTTAGCATGCCTGGGAAACCAGGTATCATTTGTGTAGAGGGCCAGCAGAGCCTGTGTGAGGAGTTTTGGGCAAGGTTTGTTTTTCACTTTATATCTTGCATTCTTGAGTTGCTACCTTTTGGTGGTTTACTTCAGTCATAAATTCCTGAAACTAATATTTTTCACTGTATATTCAGAATCCTTCCTGTGCTTATTCTGCCAGTTATACTTTACAGCACCATAATTTAGCACTGTGATTAGGCAGTTGCTTGATCTTTTTTGCCAAGTAAAAATTGGCTCCATATTTCAAAGTCCTGTGTGCGCATACCTCACAGAAGAGGGATGGCATGATGAGATTGTCAGTGACTGTTTCATCACCAAGAAAAACATGATGGAAAGCTCTCTGTTGGCAGAAGAAACTGAGAAAGTAGAGGCAAGAGATGTAGAGCCGCATGTGGGTGACCAAGGCATCGAATACAGGTTTTCAAAGGTTTGTAGGAATACGATGGTCACTTAAATTAGGGGTAGCCAACACGGTGCTGTCCAAATGCTGTGGACTGCAGATCCCATCATCCCTGACTGTTGGATAATTTTGGATGGGGTTGATGGGAGTTGTAGTCTACAAGATCTGGAGGGTACCGTATTTAAATTCACAAATTTAAAACACATGACTTAAACATGGGAACTGTAGTTTACCACCCAGAGGGCTACAATTCCCAGCACCCTTCACGCTACAGTTCCCATGATTCTTTGGAGGAAGCCATCTGTTTTAAATGCACAATGTGGGTGTGACCTTAAATCAGTAACAATATGGGAATTGTATGAATTCCATTTATGTCCTGAGACCAGACATAGTTGCAATCCAAGACCTTAATGTCAGAAGAAACTTTCAAGCCATTGTTCAGGCCTCTTTTTGTTGCCAAAATCTTTCTGGTGGCATTGTGAGGAAGGCAGTATAAGTATGCTTAGGAACTACAGTGGTACCTCAGGTTACATACGCTTCATGTTACAGACTCCGCTAACCCAGAAATAGTACCTCGGGTTAAGAACTTTGCTTCAGGATGAGAACACAAATTGTGCTCCAGCTGCGCGGCAGCAGCAGGAGGCCCCATTAGCTAAAGTGGTGCTTCAGGTTAAGAACAGTTTCAGGTTAAGAACGGACCTCCAGAATGAATTAAGTACTTAACCCGAGGTACCACTGTATAAACTAGTAAATGGCTTCTAGTCTTCATTCTGTTTCTCATAACCTCTCTCTTTCAAGAGAGAATATTCATCACCTCAACCACTAATATGGAATGTGAATACTGAAAATAGGCTCTTTTCAAATCATAGTCCCCTCAGTGGCAAGGAGGCTGACCATCCACTAGAATCTATTTATTTAGTAAGGGGTTATATATAAATATATTAAAGTTGGTAGAGCATGGTAGAGTTGGTTCGAGCCCCACATTTGGCGAAATGTGCATTGCAGTAGATTGGGCTAGATAAACCTTGTAGTCTCTTCCAACTCTATAAGTGCCTAGGAGGGTTTCCCCTGTAATTTATATAAGTTACCCACTTTCATTATAATAGAATATAATAGAAAACAGATTTAGGAGTACAGTGGTACCTCGGGTTAAGTACTTAATTCTTTCCGGAGGTCCGTTTTTAACCTGAAACTGTTCTTAACCTGAAGCACCACTTTAGCTAATGGGGCCTCCTGCTGCTGCCACGCTGCCGGAGCACAATTTCTGTTCTCATCCTGAAGCAAAGTTCTTAACCTGAAGCACTATTTCTGGGTTAGTGGAGTCTGTAACCTGAAGCGTATGTAACCTGAGGTACCACTGTATTGTAATGGATATTGTGGTGTAATAAATGCAACACTTTGCTTCTAAGAATATTTATATAAAGAAAGGTTTGTCACATTTTTGTAATATTGTTCCTTTTACAGTTTCAGAATATATTAGCCCATGTCTTAAGTTCTATTGAAAACACTAGGATTTAAGTTAATTGTGACTAATAAATTCCATTGGCCTCAACAGGACGAAGTCAGAAGTAATTTTAGTTGGTAGGGCTTATTGTGTTTTCTAAATTTGTGATTCTCTCATTGAATTTAGAATCAGAAGATTATCGTGGCAGAGAATTTTAATACGTCACAGAGAAGACATTTGCTTAGAAGGGACTGAAGCTGAAATGGAAAAACAAAAGAAGTTTTTTGCTTTTGAAGAAAAAATATTTGATGCACATGGTGCCAGAGGAAATCACATGGATTTGGGACAATTGTATCATTTTTTACTTGACAGTGGATGTGGTGATATTTTTCAACTGTACTTTGGAGTTGAAGGACAATAGATCATCAAGAGGTGGAAAAATCACATGGAACACTTAAATGAAACTTTAGCAGTCCTCTGTGGGTGACATGTAATTGTGGTGTCCCGCTTCTGTTTATGACAACAGGACTTGTACCTCCTCCCCTCCCCTTTTCATCCCAAATGTGTTGTGGGACCTTCTGGAGCGTTTTGGGGAGTGGGTTGGCAGGAGAAAATCCAATCGCATCCACTGGTGTAATGTTGGATCTTGTTCTATGTTTTTACTTTTTAAAAAATAAATAAATACTAAGAACTTTACTCATTTACATCTGATAAATTATGAATGTCGAAACAAGTTTGATTTTAATTTAAAATAACATTTTAATGCTAATGACAAACAATAAAAGCAATGCAGTTGATCTATTCATGTAAATAATTCCCATAATCTCAAATACCTATGTAGCTTAATCCTTTGCAGAATTAAGAAACTCGTTGAAATAAATAGGCTTTGATAAAACTAACTACAGTTAGTTTTGCTACACAGCATTTTTCAGGTATGAACTTCTATCTGTTCTTGTCTGCACATCACAAAATATAATAGCTATTTTTTCACATAACCCACTTGCAAGGTTGACTACATCATCATGTTTCCACTTTAGGGGTAGCAAAATTGTGTAGGTAGGTAGGTAGGTTGTGCTTGTGTTACTCATAGATAGGCAAAACCTTTATGACAGGTTTGCTACACCTCTTACAGGTGGCTGTCACTCTGGTGCCAACACATGTCAACCCAATGTGTGGCAGCTATGAAAAAGGTGAATTCCATTTTAGAGATCGTTAGAAAAGGGATTGAAAATAACCCTGCCAATATTATTATACATATATATAAATCTATTGTGTGACCTCAGTTGGCATACTATGTACTGTTCTAGTTGCCACATCTCAGAAAGGATACTGTGGAGCTGAAAAGGTGGAGAAAAGAGCAACCAAAATGATCAGGCGGTTAGGAAAAAAGTGAGTAAGGGGAATATGATAGAGGTGTAAAATATAAAAGCTTGTGTCAAATATATGATGGCTATCCCTAATCCTATAGTAGGTATTTCAGACTTTATGCCTTATATTTCCACCTTCTGTGAAACTTGGAAGTTCCTGAGTGTATGCTTATATGTAGAACACCTGTAGGTCAGGAGTTTAAGGCCTCATTGTTGTCATGTGTGAACCTATAACACAACTTTTGAACATCCAGTATCCTATAGCGGCATGTTACAGGGAAAATAACTAGCGATGAGCAGGCTTTCAGGAAAAGATCCACCTTACAGATCCTCCACTGAACTACCCCCAATGAGCCCCCGAGTTCTCCAGTACATAATTTGAACACTATCCTAATCCCAAACTGGAAAAAAACCTTCCTGTCAGATTCCATGTATGCTACTAAGATCACTTGTTTTTTAAAAGCCCTATTTATCAGGGCACACATTAGCCTCCCATCAAGTGTCTGAGGCAGGGGTGCCAACTTGAATGAAATGTGAGGGCTGGGCGGGGAGGTAAACCCTGCCCTTCACAATTGATCACTAGACACAGGACACGCACAGTTTGAATGGCAATGTCCATCAGTGTGGGGTGGGGTGAGGAACCGAAGGAACCTTGGGCCCTAGAAATTGACATCTGTGGTCTGAGTTGGGGTATCGGAGGAACCTACATGACACAACTGCTGCCTGTGGCTGTGAAGATGACCTTTTTTAACAACAAAAAACAACACCACAATTATTCTTGGTGAGCAGATTGCGGACCAAAAAGTATAAACCCCAAAGTCTTGATTCCGCTGCAGAGCCCAAAGGTACAGGCAGCGCTGGATTTAGGTCTGATGAGGCCCTAAGCTAATGAAGGTAATGGGGCCCTTTATATGTCCAGCTGTCCTTTGTCAACAACAAATTGTCATTGTTTTTTGTGTTGAATATATGCTATATGGTAATTTATGGACCTAATAGCTATCTAAAGCCATTTGCCACTGTTGCTATATGTAGGTTTTATTTTATTTGTTTTTTATCTTATATTTTGGAAATGTACATCCAGTTTTTTTCCCCTTTAATTTTTTGGGGGGCCCCAAGAGAGTGGGGCCCTAAGCTATGGCTTATTTAAGCTTATACGTAAATCAGGCGACTGCATATTCTCGAAGAAGCTTGCAGTCTAATAATACCGACACGCGGGAAGAACAGAGGAAAGTGGAAGAACCGGGGGGAAGAATAGCCCCGTATTTAGGCTCATAAAAGTGGTTGGGACCTAGAAGGCAAACGGGGCTGAACTCCACCCCCACGAGCCGCGTCTCGAGCTCCCTCGGAAGGCTCCGAAAGCGGTTATGAAAGGCGTGCTTCGGCGGAAGAGCAAGAATAAGCGAGGGAGGCGCGAGAGGGGAGGAGACTCCGGTCTCCGGGGGCGGCCTCTCCGCCATCGAGCCCGGAAGCGCCGCCCCTCCTTTCCGCACGTCTGTTGCCCGGGACCAGCTGCCTTGGGCCGGGCTGCCTGCTTGCTTGCGACTTCGCCGCCGCCGCCACCGCCATGGGAGGCAAGAACAAGCAGCGAACGAAGGGCAACGTGCGGGTGAGTGAGGGAGGGAGGGGCGCGTGTGTACGTGGGTATGTTATGTGTTCGCCCCCGGAGGGAACTGTATCAAAACGCCAACAGCTTTCCCCATCCAGCACGGGCCTGCTTTCTACCCTTGGCTTACACGTGTATGAGAGCCTGTTCCCACAACCTTCTCTTTCAAGGGCTGCGTGATTCAACGTCTGTCGGGGCGAGGAGGAGCGGGGGAAAGAGGCGGCCTATGCCAACACAAGCATCATAAAACCCTCTCCAAAGGGAGGATGAATTCTTCCTGTCCGGGGCCTTTTAGCGGTTGCAAGTTTGTAAATATTGATTTGAGTGTGATCTGGACACTAAGGAGAATTGAAAGCACGACAGTTCTCAGAGGACAAGTTTTTTTTGGCTAGGGCTTCTTGATTTTCTTTGGTCACGCCACGTCCATATGATCTTGACTTTGTATTTGACAATTAGTGCGGAAGAACCGCTGTCCTTGGCTCCGTTTTTGAACTTACAGGAATCGGTTTCCCTCGCCACTTTGCCATAAACATGTAGTGTAAAGAATGACTCCATCCCTTTCTACTTCAGCCTCTTTTCCTGCTATTACTGTGAGTACAGCTAATCTGTTAACACACTTACCTGTGTAATATATTCCTGGTATGGTGGATAAGAGTACTGGATGTGACATGTGTTCCAATCGGTGCTTAGCAATGAAGCTCAGATCACTACACATAAACACTGTATACCAAGTTGTAAATTATCAAACTGGTAATCTTGTCATCTGTATTGCCCTGTCAAGTGTTAAGGAGAATTTTAGCACTCTTCTGCTCCCCAAGTTTCTAAGTTAGGTGTTGAAATGTGGTAAAATTATTCTTCTCACTTTGTACAACAATACAGATTGAGAGTTTTCCAGGCAATTAGATGTACCTTACGGTATGTTGCTGCAATTACCTGTAAATGGTTATCTGTATTCACACAATACTTCAGCCCAACCAATTTACAGGTTTCTTGTGAGGATAAGGTAGCCAGAAGCTTTGCAGAGCCTTGATTTTTAACAGGCTTAAATGTAATTAACTGCATAGATTTTTTTGCTTTAAGATCATCCTGTATTATCTTTCTGTTTCCTATTCCCCCCTCCTCAACAATATTCAAGTGTTTATTCCAAGCAGGAAGTAGGGGGTTGGCTTCTTACTGACACTCTACTCGTCCCACCTTTGAACTCCACATTTTTTGGAACTAGTGCAAAAAGTCCACATGTGTACAGTCCCTTATGAATATCCTTGAAAAATAGAATGTGCGGACATTGTGCATAATCTGCTGAATGTGTGGAAATCGGGGATGGCACTTGCTGGTGTGTTCCCAGTTCTTGTGCTTGTGTGTTCATTCCTACCTATGATCAGTGTTTGAACAAGGCTTCTGTAGCTTTGTTATATTTGCCTTTTCCTGCTCTCCATTTTTTGTTTCCCCCATTGTTGAAATGTAGGGCAAAATCACTGTGATCTGTTCTCCGGGAACCTTCACACTCACATGTTCTTGTTAAGCCCTGGTTTGGCTTGTTGTTATGTGCTAACGGGGTCACTGTGTGTATCTGGCAGGAGAGGGATGGTTGTAAGAATTCCCCAGCAATGCAGTCCAAACTGTTCTAAATGTAAACATAACAAGAATCCTGTAGTAGCTTAAGGACAAATATAATTATTGTGATAATTTTAAGATTCCAGGACTTGTTGTTTTTGCTATAACAGACTTGCATGGCTATTCTTTTGGAATTTATCTAAAATGTAGACTTCTAGAGAGAATAGAGTTGTGAGCACAGAAAAAACGTGTTGGGTTAAGACTTGAACAAGTAGCAGTGCAACTAATGAGAATAATGGTATTGGGCCAGTTGGATTAGTTCTTTCAGTCATAAGATAAAGAATTGCAGCTGTTGGGGCACAAAAATATGCCCCAAAATTGTTGGTAAACAGAAATTTTAGAATTGTTCTGTTAAAGTAAGCTTGCCGTTTCTCTCTCCCTTTCTTTAAAAAAATAGCCCTCTAGCAGTGGTAGAGCAGCAGAACTTCTTGCCAAAGAACGAGGAAGTGTTCCTGGGTTTGTTGGCTTCAGCACATCTTCAAGTGACCTAGGCTATGTCCCTGCGATTCAAGGCGCTGAAGAAATAGATAGCCTTGTGGATGCTGACTTTCGAATGGTGCTGAGAAAACTTTCCAAGAGAGATGTTACAACCAAATTAAAAGTAGGTTTGTTGTACTGCTCTTAAATGCCTAGTAATTATTTATTGATATGCTACTTAAATCAAGTTTAGACAAATATTATGAGGATAGAAATACACCGAAGAAAGAAACAGTTACTTTCAGTTTATTTCTAACAAATGGTTTATTGCACTATAGGGTATTGTGTGATTTGTTTAGCTGCATATTTTAATGGTTAGGCAAGCCTAGGATTGCAACTTTATTTGGAATTAAGAACTTTTAAACTTGATGGGGCTTGCTTATGTAAACTAAGTATAATATCATGATGCAAGTCCCATGTATGTCAACAAGAGATGTAGCTTGTTTACTCGTAAATAAATCCCATTGTAACTCAGTTGAACTTACTCTCAAGTAAATGTGGATAGAATTCACCCTTAGCCTTTGGGTTACCAAGTGATTCACAAGGTTCCAGGCTGTATATCCAATACATGTGTATATTCAGAAGTAAGTCCCACTGAATTGAGTGGGACTTACTCACAGAGAAATGCATATATGCTTGCACTGATAGTAGCTGAAGGGTAGGAATGGAGGATTTCAACAAATACTTGATATCCTTCCTTTTACATGTTGTTTAGGCCTTACATGGTTTTAGCATGTTCTGTAAAATAGTTATCCAGAGCTGATGGAAAGTGATGTGGAAAAGGTTACCCCAGTCTTTAAAGTTGCATGTGTAGAGACAAGTGCAGTCATAAAGCATATGGGAAGGATAATAGATTATCAGTGTTTGGAATTCATGCTCATTTTCTCTTTTTTAATTTCAGGCTATGCAAGAATTTGGAACAATGTGTAAGGAGAGAGAAACAGAGATTGTTAAAGGAGTCCTACCTTATTGGCCTAGAATTTATTGTAAAATATCTGTTGTAAGTATTAAACTCTTGGATTATGGTGAATATGGACAGGTTTATATTTCTGACAATTGTCAAAGAAATCAGTGCATGGTTCTATTGTGCTGGGTATGATTAGTTTTGAAGAAAGTTTGTGACTTGGTATAGAACTACTTTGTGCTTTATGAACGACTCATATTACAAAGGAGTATGGGAAAGCTTGAGATAATATTGTATACCTTGGTTTAGGGACGCGGGTGGCGCTGTGGGTTAAACCACAGAGCCTAGAACTTGCTGATCAGAAGGTCGGCAGTTCGAATCCCCACGACGGGGTGAGCTCCCGTTGCTTGGTCCCTGCTCCTGCCAACCTAGCAGTTCAAAAGCATGTCAAAGTGCAAGTAGATAAATAGGTACGGCTCCGGCAGGAAGGTAAATGGCGTTTCTGTGTGCTGCTCTGGTTCACCAGAAGTGGCTTAGTCCTGCTGGCCACATGACCCAGAAGCTGTACGCCGGCTCCCTCGGCCAATAAAGTGAGATGAGGGCCGCAACCCCAAAGTCGTCCGCGACTGGACCTAACAGTCAGGGGTCCTTTACCTTTACCTTGGTTTTTAAATGTCAGGATTGATGCCAAGTAGCTTTTGATTTTTTGCCCCAGAAACTGAGAGACTGATATAAATACTGAGCTCTTAAGTGGTACACCTGTATAGTATGCCTGTTTATTTTTACATATAGTTACCTATATTTCCCCCCCCCATATTTATTGTAGGATCATGATCGTCGGGTCAGAGAAGCAACACAGCAAGCTTTTGAGCAGCTTATTTTGAAAGTTAAGAAACATTTGGCTCCTCATTTAAGAAGTCTTATGGGACACTGGCTGATAGCTCAGTGTGATACTTACTCTCCTGCAGCGTCAGCAGCTAAAGTGGCATTTGAAAAAGCCTTTCCACCAAGCAAACAGCCTGAAGCCTTAGTATTTTGTAAAGATGAAATTCTGAATGTGAGTTTTCCAGTCTGTATGACCATGTTAAAGGTTTATGTTAATTGTGTTTTGGCTTTTTAAAAGAGTGAAAAGAACCAGGCAGAGGGCCTTCTGGGTAGTGGCGCCTGCCCTGTGGAATGCCCTCCCATCAGATGTCAAAGAAATAATCAACTATCTGTCGTTTAGAAGACATCTGAAGGCAGCCCTGTTTAGGGAAGCTTTTAATGACTGGTGTTTTAATGTATTTTTAATATTTTGTTGGAAGCTGCCCAGAGTGGCTGGGTAAACCCAACCAGATGGGTGGGGTATAAATAATAAGTTGTTGTTGTCACATTAGATATACATCTAGTTTTGAGTTTGATTCTTAATTACATCAAATATATATTCTGTTCTTTTCTTAATTATTTCTGATGTAGTATGGACAGAGAAAGTTTTGTCTAAAACCAGGATCATCGTTTACACTATAATTAGTTTCAAGACAAACCAATTTCATAACTCATGGTTTGAAGTGGACTTGTTTGGAGTCTTAATATTAAACTACAATCCCCAGTTCAGATGAAGAGGAAGGCTGCTATTTTACTGAAAACAAAAGAAAAGCTTTTACGTATTTTCTTGACCACACAGGAGCGGGAGGCAGGAACGTGTGAATCCAAGACTTGCTGCAGCTCATACCCATCATGATACATCATAATGCATTGTGATGCTCCAATTTAGGCAGTGAATATTAGTGAGAGAGAAAAGGTGTTACAAATGCAAATTCATTTTTACTTTTTGGTCTTTGTAGCTGCTGATACTATCCAAATAGAAGCTGCGATGTTCCTGGCATGCATAGTTGAGCTTGTTTAACCAAGAACGAAAAAATACACAAAGTCACACATATGTTCCTCATTAATTTCGAAGTGATTTACACTTTGGAAATTCTACGATGAAAAAAACATAATGTTGTAGTTGTTTTGGTTTATAAAACTCAATATTAACTTTTCTATGAGAACTGCATAATTTTATATTCCATTTAAGGACATCTAGTTGATTCTTCTCTAGGTACTCCAAGATCACCTTTTGAAAGAAACACCTGATACACTAAGTGATCCACTGTATGTACCTTTATATAAATATGTTTGTTTTGTATTAATTCACAATAAATATGTAAAACTTAGAAGCATGTTTCAGATCCATTATATCAAATTATGGGAAGCATTTCTCCCTGCCCAGAATTTTGTGTGCATATATATAAAGGAGACTTCCTCATTCACTTAAATAGAAGCCCTTGCATATGTGGGAGTTTTGTGTGTACCATATATCTATCTTGCTTTCAGTGCACTGCTGGATTATAGCAATAGTATGTTTAGAACACTGCCTTCTCTTTAATATTTCACAGTCAATGCAGATAGGTCTAGTAGTTTAGTTTGCTTGTGAGAAATTATGCTTGAAAAAAATTGTTATAATTTTGCTTCGTGACAAAGGACATACAGTGTCTAGAGTGAATTAGAAGATGGATTTAACTTGGTAGTGCAATATTGGTAGTGATGCTTAGTAAAAAACTTTTCATTATTTCTAAGACTAATGCTGTTTCTCAGACCTCTCAGATTGATATTTTTATGTATATGTACAATGTGTGATATTCAGAGAAGGACTAGCTTTCAGAGTGAGGTTGTGCTATCCTTTTTAACAAATTATTTAAAATCAAATATGAAAATTGTGTTCATGGCTGAACTGTAAAACTATATAGCTTATATATTCAATTCTTTTGTTTTAATAGAACTGTGCCAGAGGAAGAAAGGGAGGCCAAATTCTTTCGAATGCTGACATGTTCTTTGTTAGCTTTAAAGAAATTGATTTGTATGTTACCCAGTAATGAGAATAGTTCATTGGAGGAGAAACTTAAACCTCTGCTGACTCAAAACAAATTTTGGAAATACGGGAAGCACAACTCACCACCGGTATGTTTATCTTTTTGTCCACTTTCTAAAATGAATCTTAAAAATGGCATGTCATGATTATCTGTTCTGAACCCTTTGCTTTCATTCACTTTTTCTTTTTGCCTTTTCATATACATTGCTGAATTTTTACATGGATTGCCCAAAATATGCAGGTCATAAACCTATTACAGTCCATTGTGTCTGCTTGAAAAAGTTTAAATTTCCCTCTCCTTCCTCTCCTTCAGGTTCGTTCAGCTTTTTTTGAGCTGATTTCTGCTTTTTGTCAGTACATTCCTGAGTCAATGAAAGCTGAAGCTTCAAGAGTTTGCCCAGCGGTTCTTCTCAGCATTGATGACAGTGATGCCATTGTTTGCCCTGCTCTTTGGGAAGCTGCACTTCATGTCCTTACTGCTATTGAGGTAATACAGTGAGCTAAATGGAAGCATTATTTCTCACAATTCTCAGGGACTTGTTTCCAGGGGTCAGCAAACTTTTTCAGCAGGGGGCCGGTCCACTGTCCCTCAGACCTTGTGGGGGGCCGGACTATATTTTGAAGAAAAATATGAACAAATTCCTATGCCCCACAAATAACCCAGAGATGCATTTTAAATAAAAGGACACATTCTATTCGTGTAAAAACATACTGATTCCTGGACCGTCTGCGGGCCGGATCTGGCCCCGGGGCCTTAGTTTGCCTACCCATGTATGCAGACCATGCTTCTTTAAAAATAATTGATATTATTCAATGCGTAGGCACAATCTTAGTCCCACTGCATGCTTCTCTTTAGTTCAGCTAGCACACTCAAAAACCTCTGACGTTTTAACTCTTTCATTAGACTGATAATTCACAGATCAGTTTCAGTAGTTCTGTTTATGTAGACCCAGAACCCACAATTATTACAACTTGCAATTTGTGAAATGTAGGCTGAGTAGTTCTGCGAAAGTTTGATCACTTGGCTGAATATTAATTTCAAAAACGTGGAAAATTGAGTCCATAAAACTATGTCATTACTTTGATGTAGAAGCAAATATTATATAGGTCCTGACTTCCTGAAAAGAGGTCTAGTTTAAGTTCTGCTTAAATATCACCGCACTTAACATTTATTTTCCTGTTGTCTCTTAGAATGTTCATTAACTTTCAAATTTGTAAGTACGTCAAATTAGCATGCTTCTTTTGCAGTGTGGCCCAGAGGGCTACTCCATGAAATAGATTGTGCATTTGTTAGGTTGCTCTTTCCAAGCTAGCTGAGTAGTCTTTAATTTACTTCTGAACCTTGTGTTGTTCTGTAGGATTGTTGGAGTCATGTGAATGCAAAAAAGGGAGTCCTGCCAAAAATATGGGCAGTCCTTCGAGAAGGAGGACGTGGTCTTGCTACAATTATATATCCTAATCTCTTGCCTTTCATTAGCAAGATACCTCATGGTATTACAGAACCGAAGCTGGACTATTGTAGAACATTTTTCACCGCCATAATTCAAGGGTATGAACAACTAGTTCTTTTTTGATTAAAGATCGCCTTATGCATGTTTGGAAATGAAGGGGAATGTATAGTGGGTAATATCCAAATGGGTCGTATCCAGTGGTGTTGCAGGAAGAGAGACCATTTTCACCTTCGCTCCCCAGATCTACTTCACCTGCTGTGTGGCACCATTAAATGCATCCCATAATTTAAACACATTTTACAATTGTAGATGCTAAACAACAGTGCTCTGTATACTTCAATGCACCCATCATAGTAATACATTGATTACTATTTTTAAAATATTGTTCTTTGTTCTTCTAATCTAGTTCTGTGCTTCTGATTTTCCAATCAGTGCACTTTCAGCACAGTGTAAAGCTATAGCATTCATTGGGAAGAATTCAACATAGCGCTAAGGAGACCGTTCTATCAGCACAAGCTTGCAGGCATCTACTAGTGGGAACTGTTAGTTAAATCAGGCTCTTTGATTACATTTGAATTCAAAACTATAAATGAAATTTATTATGTTTCTCAATTTTGTGTTTGTCTAGGTTGTTGACTGAAAGGGCTATGGCTAGCCGTTCAGAATGTTCAGCAATCCTTTCGGCTTTCATGGAATGTTTACGATTTACAGTGCTACAGAATATAGGTGAAGAAGAAGAAGAAATTAAAATTCAAGAAATGCTTATAAATGATCAGGTATTTTTTCATGGGAATATATCATTTACTTCTAATAATTTTTAGTAATTTGAGTTTGAGCCAGTTGCCTAAACGTCTGTAATGAAATGGCTAAAATACTCTCTGATGCAAGGATTTTGAATAGGAGATTGCCACAAGTGGCCCTCTTCACCACCTTTATGACTGCAAAACTTCCTAGGGTAAAACAAATAAATATGTTAGATCACAGGTGGGCAACCCACAGGCTCCAAGTTCACTACCAGCTACCCAGCAACTTAAATTCCTTCCACCCCACTCCCCTGTTAGCTCACCAAGCATTCCTTACAGCCTGCCTTGAGTTACTCAAGTTACAGGCAAATTCACACCCACCCACAGTTCTCACCTGAGCTTCCCAACTAGTTGTTTGGCAGACTGTGGGGAGCCCAGTTTAGACCGACCGTTGTGCTTCCCTCAGTCTACTAAACAGCTGTTTGGTGCTGGCAAGTACACTCCCCTCACCCTGTCAATCAACTGGGGAGGGCAGCTCATGTGCATCCCCTCCAGCTCATTGTTGTTAAGGATTGTGCTAACAGTTAGCTAAATGAACTAGGTCTGTGGTAAATACCTTTCAGAATATTTATATTTATCTGTGCCTTTTCACTGTTGCTGCTGCTGTAGCTATGCCTAGGGTTGCCATCTTTCAAAAAGTAAAATCCAGGACACCTTGAAAGTTGTTGAGCTTTTTTTAAGAAGACCCCACAACTGTTGAGCTCTTTTTAGACAAACGCCAAAGCTTTGGGTGTTTACAAAAACACCCCCAAAACGGGACTTCTACTGGACACCTTCCAGAAATCCCAGACGTATGGCAGACCTAGCTATACCATTCTCTTCTCCTTCTCACAACCCCCATTTTGTTAAGTTTTCTGTTTGCTGTGACGATTTTCATTGCCTATGGCAACAGCACAGCAAATTAGGTACAGTAGCAGCCTGGACACATCCCACTTCTCCCTCTCCCACCCTGCTTTTCACCATATTTGGGTGTGTGGGTGGAAATCACCAAAAGGAAGGGTCACTTTTTGTAGTGACCAACATTTTCTACATCATGCCCTACTTTAATCTCTGCACTAAAATGAATATATTTTCTCTTTACAGCTAGTTCCCCTCATTGACACAGTGATTAAAGAGCCCAGGTTACAAAATGGACCTTTGTTTTTTGCGATAGCAGACACCTTGCGCTTTTGGAACACGCGAGCAGAAATTTCAAGTGGTGATGGAGCTGCTCCCACTTTCCGGAGAATATTGTCGGACTTTTGGGATGGCCTTTCAACTATATGTGTGGGGCACATTGATGTAATAGACGCAGATGAGAAATCTTTGGCTGCTGTGTCCTCTTTGCTACAAATCCTTCAGAACCCAGAAAATAAGATAAAACCAAGCAGAAGAAAAGCTGTGAAGATCAGGTTTGCAGAAGATGATGAAGCTGAAAGCAACACTGAACATGAAAATTTTGTTGATATGAGAAGCAGCAGTGATCCTGGCACTCTTATTCATGCACAATATCTTTCCCCTCTACAGAAAGAGCCTTTAGAAGATTTAGTTTGTAAACTTGCAGAACTGAGTATTGTGTATACCAATGAACAAAGGTCTGACCGGCACTTAAAGTTCCTCTCTGCTCTCCTCAGTAACTTTGCCTCCAGTAGAGTTTTCCAGGTTCTGTTGGAGAATAGGACCAGTATTCAGGAAGTTGCAAAGCTTCAGTATGAAAATCCTTCTATCCAATTTCTCTATGAAAATCTAATTGGTTGGCTGAAAGAAGACTGGAGAAAAGAGACAGATTTCTTGGTTGATATTTTGTATAGTGTCCTCCATTGCTGCAGCAGTGCCCCAGAGAGAGAAAACATTCTAAATGACTTAACAAAGGTACACTTTCTTAAAAATAAGTTTCATAGAATTGTAGAGTTGGAAGGGACCACAAGGATATTCTAGTCCAACCCCCTGCAATGCAGGAATCCTTCAACCAATGAGGGGCTCGGACCCACAGCCCTGAGATTAAAAGTCTCATGCTTACCTACCAACTGAACTACAGTCATACCTCAGGTTGCAATAGCTGCGGGTTGCACATTTTCGGGTTACGGACACGCCGAGACTCAGAATTACCGGAACGGGTTACTTCTGGTTTTTGGCGCATGCGCAGTAGCGCCGAATCGCGTCATGCACGTGTGCAGACACTGGTTGCGAACGTGCCTCCTGCATGGATTACGTTCGCAACCCGAGGTTCCACTGTATTTGATTTGCTATGATTTGGTAGACTGGTGGTGAGTTTAACAGTTTGGATCAATTTTCTCTTATGTAATTTGAGATTTGGAATGAAACATTTTGGATATTTAGGATTGGAATAGAATAATTTGGTAGCAGTAATATAGTTTCATAAGCAGGTGCTGATCAGTTTTTTAAGAAAAACATGTCTAATACTAACCTATGCTAATTTATTCATTTCATATTGAAATTTAGAAAGTTAGGGTTGTATCCAACACAGCACAAGTGGAGATCCACTTATACAACAGGGCTTCCCCTTCCTCTCCTTTTTCCATGCACCCCCAAATTGCCCAGTTTGTTCTCTCTCAACCACCTGGAGCAGATTTTGAGGATGAGTTAGGGGTTGCACAAAAAAGAAAAGGATGGGGATATTTAGTGACGCAAGTGGGAGTCTGCTGCACAAGCAGAACAGCAATGTGGGACACAACTCTGCTTTCCCACCCAAAGGATCCTCAAAAAGTTCAATTAAAAAAATTAGCAAACTTTTAGAAATCGAGAGGAGCACACAAGCAAAATCAGTAGCATAATCAGTCACCTGGGGCAGAGGGTTCCACTGTCTGGGTGCTGCAGCTGAGAAGGCTCTGTCCCACATTTCCACCTGCCATGCTTCTGATGACAGTGCGACATGGCTACTTTAAGGGGGAAAATGTGCCACAGGCAGAACCACTCGCAAGGAAGCCTCTCAGTTTGGCACTCATGAGAACAGATCTTCTGAAGAAACTGTCCAGTTATACTAAGCAAAGGGGAGGAGGGAGTTATCTTGCAGCAGATTTATGTGTACGTTTGTAAAAATATTTGTATCCCTGCAAGGAGCTCAACTTAGGGAAGATTTGAACCTAGGTTTCCCATACCTTAGTCCAGTACTCTAACCATTATGCTGCATTGGCTATAAATGTTAAACTTTTCACACAAATTGTTTTAAGTTTCTGCTTATCACATTGTTGATGTTCTCTCTTTTTTCTGTTTTTGTTTCAGATGGATCTGAAATGGAATATTCTTCTTCAGATAATTCAAAAGGTATATTCAAGATTTTTGTTGGTTTTTTTACACATACTAGTTTTGTATCCAGAGAAGCATGAATTTAAGATTATTTAAACAGACAGTTTTATTGCACTTTATGTAAATATCTGTCCCATTTTCTGTGTGTGCTTAAGATGAAAAAGCCCTTTCTGTGCTGAATCACTTGCACAATTGGTAATTAACTATAGACACATGTCTATATAATTTATAATAAGTAGTATAGTATATTTGAACATTAAATAATTAAACCACCACTAAAATATACTTTGGTATTTTTAATGTTTTAGGCATGTTCAAACTCAGAGAAACATTCATTGAGTTCTGCTTGGCTGGAAGGAGATGTGTTAGGAGAAAAGCTTGTAACTCTGGCTGATGACTTGTGCAACACAAGTTTGAAAACGACAGTAGCTTCAGCAGAATCTTTTCATTCAGAAAGATGGACTCTTCTAAGCTTGGTGTTATCTCAGCTTATTAAAAATGGTAGGTGGCTTCAGTTTACCCGAGGAAAGAATAAAATTAACTGCAAGAGCTGGCAGACAGGCTTGTCATGGGTGGGAAGTGTGAGACAAAGGTGGTGTTAAGGTGAATAATATAATATTGCATTTATTCTTTCTAAGATCCCAGTAAGAAGCCAAGGTTCAGGGCTTCAGAGATATGGAATGCCAAAAGCAAGTAGCTGACTAACATACACTTGGCAGAGATCTTGCTAGCCAGTTGACCAAGATCAAGTCTATGTCTGAACCATAGCTAAGGATTCTTGTACATGGGAAAGACTCTGACTCATATGCTCACTATTTCATTCCTTGAGATTTTCACGACTGTACCCATGCATTAAGTCAGAAGACTAACTATCTGGATCTGATAAACTTAGCTCCACATAGGAACACTTTTGCAGAAATTAGATTTAATATGATGCCCTCTGCTTTTTTGGATGGTCATTGTAAGAAATTATGCTTCAGACAACATATTTTGTAAAACCGTCACAGAGGATATTGTTCATTATATTATTCAGTGCCCACTTTATAAAGATCCCCATGAAAAATATTTGTTGGAGATTAGTTTCAGGGAGAACTTTGTTTCACCTAGTAAGTTTGTTTGCTTTTTTGCTGTTTGATAAAGGAACACACAAAGTAACATAATTTTCATTATTTGTGTTGGGGACCAGGAAATTGAGAGCTAAATTTCTACTCAATGCTACATGTGTTTTTTGTTTCTATTTTTTAATGGTTTATAGCTAAACAAGTGCAGTATTACATACCTATCTGCCAAAGGAAGAATCTCAGAGCTGCTGGCCCAGTTTCCTCAGGCTGTAAGCACTGTAATTTCAGCATGCACACACTGATCATGGAGTAACTTAAAATGTGCCTTTTTTTTAATCAATAGAGTCCTTGATTGGTGAAGTTTATGTTAAAAGGATTATTGATAAACTTCAAGCAGCTCTGTCTAAAGCAAAGGATCTTTCAGAAGCTGGAAACACAGAACCATCGGTGTCTTTCATCTGTGACATAGCCTCTAACTTTTTCAGCTCAGTTAAAGGATGCTTGTTGATGCCATCATCAGAAGATTTGTTGCTCACCATTTTCCAGTTGTGTGCACAAAGCCAGGATACAACACATTTGTCAGGTATTGCACAATAAGTATATGTTGATGATACCATATGCTGGACTATGACTCTCATCTTCCCTGACCATTGACTATGCTACTAAGGCTGATGAGAGTTGGAGTTTAACAGTATCGTCCAGCTTCTTTCCATTTGCACAGTAGAACTTCCATGGGGGAAGGGCTATAGGTCAGTGATAGAGCATTTGCTTTACTAGCAGAAGGTCCCTGGGTGAATTCCTAGCACCTCCAAATAGACTGTGGTTTGGGGGAAATGGTCTCCCAAGTCAAATGGGGAGGCCTGGCAGGCCAAATTTAGCCCATAGACTGGAGGTTTCCCACCCATGGTATAGACAACTCGGTATAAGGCAACTTCCTGTGTTGCTATGTTCCTCTTCTGGTGCATTCAGCTGAAGCAAAATATTGTTTCCAGTAATGCCTAAGTGCTGGTGATCATCCCTGAACGCTCTGGAAGTGGCAGTTCCAACATTCAAGTGAAGAGAAGCTGGCATGAGGTGAGAGAAGACAGAGGAAAGATTCTATCCTCTGAAAGTTGTCACTACTGACAAGTACATTGACTTAAGGCATGGAGCAAGGGAGCTGGCTCAGTTGGGAGCTGCGGCCTCAAGGTGCCTGGACTGCCTTGAGGTGGCACTTCCCAAAGCCTTTGTGAGGCATATGCTGTGTGTGTGTGTGTGTGTGTGTGTGTGTTGCGGATTGCATGTGTGTAGCTTCCATGAGTATGTGAGGGGGTGATCCCATGCTCAAGGATAGGATTCTGCTCTTATGCTAATGGATTTAGCAGTATGACTAATGCTTCACCATTATGCTCAGAAGTTAAAATGTTCAGCCATTTTTTTTTTATTGATGTAGATTTCCTTGTGAATAAGCTGAAGCACACATGGTTCTGTGGCTTAACTTCACTTGTGCAACATCTTAGCGATATGCATAAAGACAGCACCTTCCTGCAGAGATCTGCATTTTGGGTCAAGAACCAACTTCAGTCCTCAACGCTGGATGTTAAAAGGTAAGCAGTGCGCTGCTTAATTTCTTTGCTGGGGCTACCACAATTTTAACAAGGCTTCGTCTTTTCACCAGGATTTTAAATCAAGATCTGAAAGTGGTTTCAAAACCTAGTTAAAATGAAATTGTTATGAAATTCAGTGGTGCCGTAATAATGGAGGTGTGAGTCTTAACATTCAAGGTATGTCATTGTATGGAAAGATGTGAAATACGTTATTTTTTAATTACCTGGTTTCTTCACAGTTTGCAGGTTTTGATCACAGCAGTTCATGACTTGTTGACTAAACTTTTGGAAGCTGATAAAGTTCCTACTTATACTCTGAAGGATTATTTTGATTGGCTCACTCCAAGTGAGTCTGAATGGGAAAAGATGCGGGGATCTCTATCCAGTGAGGTATATAAGTTTCCACAGTGTCATTGTACAGTGAATAGTTACTGTCAGCATTTGCAGTTAACTTCTTGGGACCAATTTTTTGTTGCGGCTAAAGCAACATGAACGAGCAGGCCACCAGATTCTGCATGAAGAGCGCATGTTATCTATGTGCCATAAATATGTCTCTTGATAATTAGTTTTATGTGTTAACTTTTAACTATAGTCAATTGTTGCTAACTGTTATATTAAAATGTATAATATTAATGCAACATTCCTATTATGTGAACAGTAATGAAAAAATTACAATCTTGTATGACTCTGGGGGAAAATGAAATTCAATTTTTTTACTTCCTATGTGTTGCTGTAGTGGTTAAAGAAACCACTTTTGGAAGGAAGACTGAGTATGAATTGTGAAATACCTGAAATGGTGAAAGATCAGAAGCTTTGTTTCATGGGAAAACTTCCAAGCCACCTATGTACTGCAGCTCTGTTAAGCAGAATGACACTACTAATACTGGGAAAAGGGGCTGAAAACCATGAAGTGGAAAGAAGCAAAATTGAAAATATCAGTAAGTGACAAAAAAGAAAGAAATCAAACTTTTAAAAATCTTATTGTTTGCAATTTATAATTTATTTTCTGACCAGTTTCTGTAGAGTCCTGTTGTCAAACAGAAGTGTGACATACATTTATTTATGTAAAATATTTTTAAGGGACAACTGATATTTGAAAACTCTGAATTGATAAAGATATGCTAGGATTATAATTGAGTGGCATTTGTCATGCTTTCTGTGTTATCATTTACACTAGGCTTGTGTGTACATAACTTGAAATCACAGTTGGTTTAAAAGTGAATGTGCTGTGTATGGGTTGAAAATCACAGCAGCACAGCTCCTCCCTCCCTGTTGCTGCTGCCAGGAGCTAAGCAGTGGTTTGTCTTAGCATTATGTTCATTGTTTCCCAGACTCAATGTTTGTCTCCCTCAAACAAGCCACAAGTGGTAAGGCCAGAACAAAGCTTGATTACAACTTGAGGTTTGTATGGAAAAAGGCAAACAATGAGCACAGGTTCAAATGCAACTTAAACCAAACCATGCCTTAGCCCCTGGCAGCAGTGACCACAGTAGGAGCAGAGAAGGAGTGAATCAGCCATAATTTTTGCTCTGTGCATGCTGTGTGTTTGCCTTTAACCTAGATGTGGGGAACGTTTGGCTCTTTAAGATCTTGCTAAAGTAAAACACCCACCATCCCTGGTCATTGGTCATGCTTGCTGGGGCTGCTGGAAGGGGTTGTTCAGCAACATCTGGAGAGCCAATGGTTCCCAACCTTTGCTTTAAACCACAGTTGACCTTAACTGTGGTTTACAGTGGCACATGAAACAGGCCACTGTGGTTTATTGCACAGAACTCCTACGTGCACAGGCGTCCCTATTTATTTTAATTGTAGGGCAGAAAGCTCTTTTGTGTACATGGAGACGCCTCCTCTTTTGAAATGAATAGGAAATACCTTGTGTGTGAAAGCTTTCAGTGTCATAAAAGTTCTGATATGAACAAGGAACTCCTGCCCTGCACAGTCTATTGTGTAGTCTAATAAGTGGAGTGTTGGATTTAGAATTAGGTGACAAACGCATATATCCTCATCTCTGAGCTTCAATTTACCTATCTGTAAAAGGAGATTATAGTTGATTTATGGGATAATAGAAATTTGAAACATGTATATTAAAAGGACATTATATAAACAGCTTCCTCTGGTGATTGTTGCAGTATAAATTTTACCATGTTCAATTATATGTTTAATAACTATTACAAGGTTAGCAACAAATTCATTTGCTGGATTATACTATTCAGATATTGTTCTGTTGTTGTTATTCTAGTCGCAGAACAGCTATATGCCTTACAGTGGATTGAAGAATTAGCAAACCCACCCAGCATTCTTACTGAATTCCTTTACCACCTGCAAGTAATGGATATTTCATGTGAAAAATTATGCATACTCACTAATACAAATGGCCTATTAAGAATATTATTCAATAGGTAGGTATTTTTTTATTTTTGAAATCATTGTTTCTCAAAAAACAAACAATTGTTTCTCAAACAGCTTTCATTAGAAAGCAACAAATATCCCAGTTCTTCCTGTTCAGGTATCACTTTTGTTATCTAACCTGAAGTTTGTCTCCTTGTGAATTGTTCACATCAAGAATAAATAAAAATGAACATTTATCTTGTCTTTAAATAAACCAGATTTATCACAGAAACTTTATTATTCCATAGATCAAAAGACTGTGGACGACTTTGGGCCTTAACCATGGCTAAATTGATAAAAACTGAGAATATTGCATCCTGTGAGATAAAAGGACTATTCAGTACATCAGAAAGGTATGATAGTTGGCTTGTAGTTTTTCTTAGACTGTGATCACACCTACTGCTGCCCCATTGATTAAAGTAGGAAATGGGAGGAAAGGCCCACATTGTGTCTCACATTATAAAGAGAGAGGATATGTCCAGCAATGCTCTGGTCCAAAATCTGATGGCAGTGATAAAAGTGCATATTAGTGATCATATAACTGGCTGTTTGGATTTTCAAGCTTTGCTCCAAATTGGAGCCACTCTATGATAAAGACCTTCCCCCTCTTCAAGAGAAGCACATGTGTCACATGAGTATGAGGTGGAAATGATGTTTCACTGCACCTGGTCCCTAAACAACATAGACAACAAACAACAATAGCTCTGAATTTGGATGGAATTAATTCACCTATAACATATATCATGCATCATGACTAGGATGAAATATGGTTGTTGGGTCATAATTTGTTGGCTACAAGTAGCGCAAAACAGTAAAAATATTCTATATTGTTGATACGTACTTAGATATTTGGTGGCGCACGTGCTGCTTTTGGCGCCAAAAGGGGGTGGAATGGGGCGGAACAGACTGATGGACATCCCGCTGACATGCGCGGTAGCCAGGAATGCAACCCTTGTGCGAGTGGAAAGTTGCCTGTACTGTCTTTCAGGCCATAAAACCTTAAGGTGGCTCACATAATAAAACATATAAAATCCATATTTTTTCTTTCCCCCCCATCCCCAACAACAATGCCATATACCCTCCTGCCCCTGTGATAAAATAGAAAATATAATAGTAAAATACTGACAAATTATATTACATAAACCCGGGCCAGCCTCAAATCTATCATTTAAAAGTGTGGTTAAAAGCTAGGTATTTAGAGCCTTTAAACAATCAACAGGAGAGCCAACTGCTCTTTCCATGTGAAGGAGTTCCATAATGATGGGGACAGCACTGAAAATGCCATGTCTTCTGTAACCACCAGCCTTATTGATGTTGCTGGCAGTTTTGAAGCAGAGCTTTTATAGCTGATCTTAAGGCACAGTCATATGGGAGCAGGTGATCTTTCAGATAGCCCAAGTCATTTAGGGCTTTAAAGGTAACCAGCACTTTGCCACGGCTCTTCTGGGCCCAAGTCAATCAGTACAGCTGGTACAGAGTTGGAGTTACATGCTCTCTCCTGACATCAGTTCACTATTTCTACAGTTTCCCTAAGCCTAGTAGGTGTAAATGATGAGTGGCAGAGCTGTTAAAGACACTTTAGCCTGATCATCTTGGTTACTTCATATAGATGTTAAATAGCTTGAGAAACAGAAATGGAACATCCTTAGCATTCCTGATTCCCCGCCCCCCCTCTGTTCCTATATGCTTTACTTCCCTTTGGTGGAGAGTCCTATCTGTTTCAAATAAATGCTCTGGGGGTCCTGGTTTGTGGTTGTGCAAATCCCATTTCTTCATAAAATTCTGCAACAAAACTTTCCCTGTTTCATGGCCTTTCTGAATTACTTTGCATTTTATCTGTGGACATCATACTGATTTCCAGATTGTCTGCTGATGTGTCATTTTCTTGGACAGGTTTTTTCCATTAACGGAAGGCAACTTGCACACACTTCAGAATCTGTCTTCATTTTTACTTCAGGAAGACAAGGAAGAGCTTGTCATTCAGTGCACTGCTAAACTAATGACCTGCAATGAAAGTGGACTTTACAGTACTGATGGTCAGTGCTTTAAATATTATCTCCAATGTTTCATTAGCTTGTAGGAGTCAGATTTTTAATGCTCTAATTTAATTAGATGTTTGCTTGCCTTTGAGAATTGCTTCTGTTCTTCAAGAGAGAGGAAAAGGCTCTTGACGAATCAGTGTATTGTTAAGTGCTTTTTCCAAGGTGCATATTATTAAGCGTACTCATTAGATAAATGGTAAATCTAAGTTTCTTTTAGACAAGTTCTGATTTATTACAGTTTGAAGAAAATGTAATATGGATGCTGAACGTTAGGAATTATTTAACCTACCTTTTTCTGATCTTGCATCCAACCACCAGTGTCCACATCTTGTTCTGCTTCTAATTTACTGCTTTTCTTGTTGTTTTCAATAACATTTAATGTGATATTTTAAATCTAGCATTTGACTCTGTTTTAGGAGCTTTTGGATATCTTGCTATTTTAAATTCCTGCTTGAATTGTGGAAGCATTGATTATGGAGATCTAATGCCTGGAATATTAAAAATCATCATAGCCTGGCGAAATGACTATGAGGACAGCTTTCTTTTTAGCTGGTGGGTAGCTTTATTACAGTTTTATTATGACTGGTCAGTGTTGCACAGTTGAAATGGTTATATTTATAATAGGGCTGCAATTCAATTAAATGACTGTTTGAAATTTGTGTAAGTGTAAACAATATTTCTGTAGCAAGAAGCATACTTTTCTTTTTAGAGGATCTCCCTTTGTCTTAATAGGCATTATCTTAGCAGAGGTATTCCTCTTGTGTGTGAGAGAAGGGGAAATTCCTCTTTGCTTTCTGCAGTGTTCACAAATACTGAAAAAAAATACTTTACAAAATCTGCTGCCTGATTAATTTTTGTTTTTGTAATTTTCCTCCCTGCCCCCCAGCAATCTACAGGAAGGAAGCCCACAGGTGCTTGGCTTGAACATAGAGATGATCCGGTTTATTTCTTTGTTGCTGAATGATCCTTCCTCTTTGCTGGAGAGTGAGTGGGATTTTGTCATGTGTTCCATGCTGGCCTGGTTAGAGGTAAGAAGCAAACTTAAATGTAGGGAATGCTATTAAGGCCTCTGCATGAAGTCTTGAGAGTGCAGATATTTTTCTTTGTGAATCCACTGGGTGGCAGTTCCTGCCTTTGAGAAATCTAAAATATGCGGCAACAGCCTATCATGTAAACTTAAGTAATATTATTGTATGGTTTTACTGTAAAATTGGCTACAGTAAATGTTTTGAACTTTTGTGAAGCAAAAATTTCAGAACACATTTAAGATTATCTGAGCTCAATCTAATCCCGTGCACCAGTTCCACAACATGTTCAACAAAACATAACTGGTAGTTTATTTTGCTAAAATATGCTTAACTGATAAATGTTACACCTGACCTTGTACTAAGAGGTATGGATAAATATGTGGAACAAGAATCATGTCAAAATGAGGGTAAAAGAAGAAATATAGAACATAGAATCGTAGAATTGTAGAGTTGGAAGAAGGGACCACGAGGCTCCAAACCCCTACAATCTCTTACCATACTCTTACCAACAGATAGATCCTGCCATTCTCTTTCTCATTAGAGAGAGAAAAGACTATTGGAATCTATTTTCATACTTAAAGAAATTGCTTTGATTTGTTATAGAAGGGTTTGTTGTCATTAAACTTTTAAGAAAATGTGTAACTTTTAGATTACAATTATTCTTTGAATGGGTGTTACTGAAATTCCTCAGGTTTTTTTTTAAAAAAAGGAAAAAATAATGCCCATCCTGGCGTTCTTCTTTCTTTTCCAGACAACAAGTGACAGCCAGGCAGTCTTTCCTGTTGCCCTTGTGCAAGTGTTTGCCTGTGTCAGCTGCGACTTGAGTGCTGCCTCGAGTGCTTTTTTCCAGGCAGCAACTCCTGAAATCACTGAAAAACTTCCACCAAACCTCATGGCTGAATGGCAGGAATTCTTTTCTGAAGGCATTCATAGTTTACTTTTATCGTTGCTGGTAAAAATTACAAGTAAGTCTGGCAAATGATAAGTATACAATATAATATGGAAAAGTAACTAATATTTTGGACACTCTGCTTTACTGCATCTTAAGATTGCAGTTTTATCTAACAGTCTTAGAAATACAGAACTTTTCAGTGTCCAACACTGTTCTGTTTGTGTACCGTGGTGGTCTGTTCACCTGGTTAGGCTGTTAAGCTCCTTGATAAAAAATGAGACTTTCAGCAATGCTCTGGAAATACTTCACTTTTTGCAATCCATTCAGGAAAGCATGTAAATTTAGTGTGCTGGGTGCTTCCAGACTGTCACTGTTTTTCTGGAGGGATTCAAGGGCATACTGGAAATTTAGGTTTATACAGTTAAAGTAGATTAAAACATTCTGCCACAAGGAATCAGTTTTTTAATATATATTTTTTTGGTTAGGAAATTGAATGGGAAAAATACTGAACATTATGGGATGAACAAATTCTTAATGGAAAGATGTTAGCAAGGAAATCAGGATGAACGCTCAGTTAAGACCAAATGTAGTCTAACTACCACATAAACTTTATGTGTGCAAATCAAGATGAGTTGTCAATAAGTTGGAGGAGTCCTTTAAGAGTACAATATCACATTTGTATGTTACCTTTTTGAACAGTTTTCCAGGAGAACTAATAATTCTATAATGTAAACTTGCTAAGATGAATTAAAATTGTGAATTCTCTTTTCTGAACAGGAAAAGAAAAAGATGCATTGGAAACATCATTTCAGAATTTCATGTTGAAATCTTTGGGGAAAGCTTTAATGTACATTTCAAAGGATCAGTTATTGAACCACAAACTTCCTGCCAAATTTGTTGCTGGTCAGAAGACAAATCTCCCAGATAAACTACAAACCTTGTTAAATACTTTTTCTCCAATGCTGCTCTTCAGAGCTAGACCTGTTCAAATCACAGTCTACCACATGTTAAATAAGTAAGTTATCCCCTCCACACATACACTTTGATCTTGTTATAGCATAGAATATGTATTTAGAAATAGACCAGGGAACATATTAGCATAACCAATTGCCCGTTCATTACTGGGCTTAGTTCAAGGTGCTCACATTAGTCTGAAAGGAACAGTCTTTCCAAACCGGAGCCTATGTAGGGCTTCTTGATTTCTAGGTCTGCCTTGAAGATGAAAAGCACACTGACTAACTACTATTTCCACATCAAGTCCACCAGGGAGCTCCTACAGGTATTGGCCTCCTCTCAGAGGGATTGGTGACCACTATTGTCCTGTAGGCATCTGCTAGATTGCTCTACTGATTCCGAATAAGGACACTTACCAAGGGGGCATAGAGGAAGAGGGAGAGCAAAGGGATGAATGCAGAGTCTCTTTCACCCCCTCCCCTTCCATCTTCTCCAGTTTTGAACTATTGTGTCCCTTATATTTATTTTGTCAGGCACTAAATATAATAAGGGTTAATACTGAGGATGAGGGTAACGATGCAAGCTATTTCTTTGTGGCACCTCTGTAAACAGATCATTCCAATACATAATGGTGTGCTATAGTAAAGGTAAAGGGACCCCAGACCATTAGGTCCAGTCGTGGCCGACTCTGGGGTTGCAACACTCATTATTGGCCGAGGGAGCCGGCATACAGCTTCCAGGTCACGTGACCAGCATGACTAAGCCACTTCTGGCGAACCAGAGCAATGCATGGAAATGCCATTTACCTTCCTGCCGGAGTGGTACTTATTTATCTACTTGCACTTTGATGTGCTTTCAAACTGCTAGGTTGGCAGGAGCAGGGACCAAGCAATGGGAGCTCACCCCGTTGCGGGGATTCAAACCGCCAACCTTCTGATCCTAGGCTCTGTGGTTTAACCCACAGCACCACCCGTGTCCCTAATGGTGTGCTTACTTGCTAGTAATATCCGATGTTGAAATCCTTTTCAGAACAGATAATGTTGGGCCTTAAAAATATGGATAAAATCACTGTTTTTTAATTTTTCTAAATCCCAGGTTAATGTCTGACTTGCCTAAATTTGACGACGAGGATCTCAAATCCTATGGTGATGAAGAGGAGGAGCTATCATTGTACGTTTCATTTTATTTATATAATGAACGAAGCAACTGCCTATCATAGTAGAATGTTAAAATGTTCCAACCACTTGCCAGACTTGGACTTTCATGGCTTAAGTGGGAAGATGCACCTGTGATCCTCAATATTGTGTTTGTGTGTGTACACTTGCGTGCGCGCGCACACACGTGCCTCAGGAGCTGTCACATAGTTGCAGAAGGTACACCCCCAAAGAACTGGGAAAGAGTAATGTTCCGTGTTTGTTCTCTTCTTCCTGATGTCTTCACATGTAGGGACATAAGAACCTTGTTGGATCAGACCATAGTCTCATCTGGTCCAGCATCCCATCTCTCATAGCCAACCAGATGCCTATGGGAAGCCTACAAACACAATGTGAGGGCGATAACTGTCTCCTGCCATTGAATCTCTGTGTTGAGGACTCACAGACCTCCACTCCTGGGGGGTAGTAAATAACTATCATGGCATTCTAAGTAGGGCAAGCTAGCCTTTAAACTGGGTAACACATTCACAATTTTAAGCAGCGATTCTGCCTTGGGAGTAGCCAGTTGTTTGATTTCTGTATAGATCTTTTTGCTCCTTGCTCTGGGCTTGTTCAGTAGGGCTGGTTTAACTCCCAAGTCATATATTTAGATCTGGAAGAAGTTCTTTGTCACCTTGGTAGCACCTGGTAGCACATTCTAGGTGTTGGCATCAAGGAAATGAAAATAAAATGAAATTCTCCTGGAGAAAAAGTCCTCCACTGAGGTGCTTGAGATAACATGGCATTGGTTAATGTGCTTACATGTTTGGTACAATGGAAACTGGTCTGAGTGTAATAAATAACACCTTTGCTGCCCTGACTTTAGGTCCCCACCAGCAGCTCTTATGACTGTGCTTGCCACTCAGGAGGAGTTACTGGAAAACATCCTAGAAGGCATTCCAGTTGGAGAGTTTGCAGTTATTCAACCACTAAGTGATGAGTTTTGCCTTGTTTTGGGATACCTCCTCACCTGGAAATTAATACTAACTTTCTTCAAGGCAGCATCTTCTCAGGTGAATTAAAGGGTTTATCTTTATCTCCTCACCCTGTGACACACATATACCCATGTACTTCTCCACATCCTTCTACTGACAAATGAATTCAGCTGTGTTCAGTTATCCCTAATCCACAGCAGTAGGAAATAATCAAGCCTTTTGCTTGAAAACCATTAGTACAAATAAAAGCATTTCAAATCCTTTTGCCCAGAACTTGGAGCTTCAAAATAGCTGTCATATGGTGTTCTACTATCCATTTTACTAGTATTCCCAAGTCATTTTTGTCAATGAGGAAAAAGTACTTTCATATATCTGAACAAGGGTTATGGTTGTTCTCATGCCAGTTTGGATAAATGATATTGTTTTGTAGCATCTGGCTGTAAGAAGGAAAGACTCGGAAGCACATAGGGTGTGTTTCATACCTGGTAACATGAAACCCAAGGCAATCTTACCAGCATATGTCATATTGACATTGCTAAATTGCTCCATAGAAATATGTATTTGTGATGTTGTATCTTATTTTTTAAAATAGTTTGACCAATGCATTACCATTAATTTCCTTGCAAGTGCGTATTAAGGCTTTGTATAAAAACAGTCTTGTCTAATCTGCTGTGAATCCCACCAAGCCTTTTCATACTCTCATTGTATACATTCCTTCAGTTTTAATGCTTCTGAGAACAGATTTTATTGGGAATAATTTTTGTATGGTTTCACCACCAGCTGCGAGCTCTTTACTCACAATATCTCCGAAGAACTAAGAGTCTGAATAAACTATTGTATCACCTGTTCAGGCTTATGCCAGAAAATCCAGCCTTTCCAGGATCAACAGCTGAACTCCCAAGTAAGGATGTAAAAACGTACTTTACTGAGGAGCTTGACTTAGACGTCAAAGGTCAGTCCAAATAGTTTTAGCTTTAATTGACATTGAATTTCTTTCATTGTATGAAACAACTGTAGAGATGTAATTTAACTGTTCTTATTTACAAACCACTTCCCCCATTTGTTATCCAGACACCTCATCGCTGTCTTCCCACATCCCTCATTTGGCATGTTCTGTTTACTGTATGACATTAAAAGATTTGCCAGCCATGGTTCGTCTTTGGTGGAATAGCTGTGAGAAACGAGTCTTCAACACTGTAGATAAATTTACAAGCAAATACGTCAGCAGTGTACTTTCTTTACAAGAAATATCTTCAGTGCAGACCAGTACACAGTTGTTTAATGGAATGATGGTTAGTATGATCTTATCTACATAAATTTATTTCATTGTTTTGACAAGTTTGATACTGTAGAAAGTAAATTACCATCGAGTGTTCAATCAGAAGCATACACTTTATCTAAGGTTGTTTCTGGAAAACAGGTCTGTGCATATATAGCGCTCTGAATTAGGGCAGTGATCATCTGCAGTCTATGTATTATTCTGTAATTTAGAGATTGTATGAGATACTCCAGTTAATATCAATCCCTCAACAAATTAATGTCTGGAAATGCCTTGTGATATTCGTAGGAGCATACAGAACTATTCCAGGATTGTTACTTCTGCTTATTAAATAGAAAAAGAATATTTGCGCTCATAAATAGAAAAAGATATTTGCGTTCATAAATGTTGCAGATATTGTGCTGTCATTTCCAGGGCAGATCTCTTCTATAAGCAGCCATTTTCAGTGTCTCTGTTCTGGCTACAGTTAAAAACGTTGCACATATTTCAGTGAGGGGAGGAATAGAAGTATATTGCAAGTACACTCTACAAGTGTATATATTTTAGATTATCTGCTATATGCCTTTTTGAAAAGTATTCTGCCTGCTATGGATTTGTTTTTCCACAGGTAAAAGCTCGATCTGCTACGCGAGAAGTCATTGCTACCTACTCAGTTGATGATATATTCATTGAACTGATAATACAGCTTCCTCCAAATTACCCCCTGGGTTCCATAACTGTTGAGAGTGGAAAGAGAGTTGGTGTAGCAGTGCAGCAATGGCGCAATTGGATGCTACAGTTGAGCACATATCTCACTCATCAGGTATGTGTCACTTAAAAGTACCATGATGGTTCAGTCCTTGCCATGTATTATTATCCACAGGTTAGGTCTGCTCTGAACAGCAGGTGGGTGCAGAATAGCAGGGCAGCTGTTCACCATTGGACAGCTCCATTCTGTCTATCTCAATATAACCTTCATTCTGAAAGCTATCTGCATGGGTACCGAAATTGCCTCCTCCTGAATTTGCACTTGCAAAAAACATCCAGTCCCTAACTGAGCAGGGAGAGAGAAGTACTTTCCAAGCATAGATCCAGTCAGATCTGCACTCCCAAAAGCCCTTGCCATTGAAATGGCAGCTGCTTCAGTCAAAATTCCTGTTCTTTTTTTAGAAGAAAGAGAGTTGTGTAGTATAGCTATTAAGTAAAATGTATGCTTGGCAGATTCTGATCTCTGGAAAACAACTCTTGCTAAAACTATAGCAACAGAACTAAATGGTCACCAGATACAGTGGAGTACTTTATTATGTAGTAGACAGCATTAATGGTGGGACACCATGCTTTAAAAAAACTTTCAATATATGGTATAGCTTCCTTGTAAAATAGTTGAAAGGACTGTGAACCAGTATGAGAAGTGAAATACTCTAAAGACAAACTTGAAATAATGAATTATTGATTCCTGAGACAACTTATTTTCTTTTAGAACGGAAGTATAATGGAAGGCTTAGCATTATGGAAAAACAATGTGGATAAACGCTTTGAGGGTGTTGAAGACTGTATGATCTGTTTCTCAGTCATACATGGCTCCAACTACTCTCTCCCTAAAAAAGCTTGCAGAACATGCAAGAAAAAGTTCCATTCAGCCTGTCTGGTAAGTACATGGAATAGACAAATTCTGAACCAAGTTTTAAATAAAAGACGACACAGAAAGCTTCAGTGGCTTTAGGAGTAGTCAGATCCACAAAACTAGTTGAGTTTCAGTAAAATTGAGAGGATAAATCCTCCTGTAATGAGTAGCAAGTCTTTCCCTTACGAAAACACAGTTTATTTCCATACTGCATTGTAAACTAATTATCACTTTTGGGAAATTATGCAGCTGACATTGTTGAAAACTGAAAGACTAGGACATACTAGTGTAGTATGCTCATATAGGAAAGCTATCTGCCCATGGTAGTAAGCCTTAGAATATGACAATTAAGTCCTTAAGCACCCAAATGGGCAAAAAACTTCATTGAATAATAGGCTTCAGAAATGGCTTTCATTTGAATTTTCACAGAAGGCACACATGTGATAGTTACTCAACTATTTAAGACATAAATAAAACTTGTTCATCTAGCAACCTTACATTTAACGTAAAATGTATGTCAAATCTGCTTTTAATACTCTTTTTTCAAAAATTCTTTCAGTACAAATGGTTTACATCTAGTAACAAATCCACCTGTCCACTTTGTCGGGAGACCTTCTTCTGAAATGACTTCTCTGCTTCAATGAACTTCTCTGCTTCAATGAACTTCTCAAAGAAAATCAACAGGCACAGTTGGATTTAGCTGTGAAATGCTAATTTTAGCTTTATTTACAAATAAAAATCTTAAGTTGTTTGATCAGGGTATCATACAAATTGTATATGGCTTTTATATTAATTATTATTTATTATTACTATATATATTAAAAGCAAGGCATTCTGACATCTCTGGCAAAAACTGATGGTATGTAAAGCCTCAGCTTCTGTGCTTTGGTTAATTCCATTTCCAGAGACTAGAACACCACCAGTGCAATGCTGTGCATACTAGGGGTGCCATATTTTGAAGAGCAAAAAAGAGGACATGGAGCCCCCTCGCCTTCCATGCCGTACGTGCACACCATACCCTCCAAAATTTCTGTTCAAGAAATTCAGTCCTGATCAAAAGAACTTCTGTCTTCATTGTGAGAAAAAATTAATATAGGATCAAGTATTATTGTCTTTTGTGCAGCCTTTATTCCAGAGTAGTTTTTGTTTAACAGGTAGTCTTCAGGACTTGCAAAATTTAAGTACCGAGAGATTTTCTCTTCCTGCTTGTCTGGAAAGTACTCTGGTGCCTTTTAAACCACATTTTCGCAATATTTTGATAATTTCATCTGCAATTACAAATGAGAAATCACAGCTCAGTTTAAAGCAACAGATGGGTCCTAGCCTTCTATCAGCCAAAATTATCTTCAAATTTCTTTCAGCATTAATTTTGCAAAGAAACAAAACAAAACAAAACAAAACAAAACAAAACAAACCATACACAAACACAATCCACCCAGCTAGATTTCCTGCCTACTGGCAAAGAGAAAAACCTGTAGAAAGCTGATACTAGATTACCAGCACTGCTGTGAGAACAGATATAGAACAAAACTAAGCAAGGTTCTTAACTCCTTATTCCTGACCAGTGTAAGACTCACTTACGTGTCATTTCCAAGGTTCTCTCATTTTAAGAGTTACACACTTGGCTATTAACAAAAGGAATAATAATTATTCACTGCCAACCTAGTCTCAGTTTGGCTCTCAACCGAAAAATCTGTTCCTTTGCTACTCCATGATTCACATTTACTTAACATTCAATTATAACAGCCTCTGACTCGCCTGTATGCCACCTGTAAATAGATGTAGAAACTCTGGGCAAAAATGGATCACTAATCCATTCTACAGCAAGCATTACATGACTAAGCAGTAATAGGCACGTGATGAGTCACAAGGAAGTGTTGCAGCCCCTAACACAGGCATCCCCAAACTTGGCCCTCCATATGTTTTAGGACTACAACTCCCATCATCCCTAGCTAACAGGACCAGTGGTCAGGGATGGTGGGAACTGCAGTCCCAAAGCAGCTGGAGGGCTGAGTTTGGGGATGCCTGCCTTAACAGAAACATTGCTGTTTACAGCTACAGCTTGAAACAGATTAATCTGTTTGGAGCTCAGAGTGCAACTGGGGTGGGTGACGTTTTGGAACCAGAAATGGAAATTGTATGACCCTTTTTTCTTCCCTTCCTGTCGCCTTGTGTCGCCTTTACCATATGGTGTTAAAGGATTTAGGTTGGGGGCTAGCTAGCCCTAAACTCAAGTGTCCTATGCATTGATGGAAGCAAGGAAGGTTTTGGAAGAATGGGAAAGAGTACGTGTGACCTTTTTATTTCTCTTCCTGAAAAATCTTGGTAAAGTGCAAAAAAGGAAGCATAACCTCATGGCACAGGTCCCTCTGGTGACCCGAATCCTCCAGAATACCTACTGCAAGATGTTAGGGGAGGCATGTGGCCTTCCAGTTCTTGGTCTCCAACAGTCCCAGCTAGGATGGTCAATGGTCAGGAATTCTGGGAGGTGGAAGACCAACAACTAAAGAGCCACAGGTCCGCCTTGCCTATGTTAAAGCCCCAAGCAGGTTTTTTTCTTTCCTTCCCCCACTGTTGCCCTCAACATTCTTTAGACATATTTGGGACTTAATTTTTTTAGTTTTAATTTACATATTTCTGCATACCAAAGGAGCCCCCCCCCAATATGTAAAAGTGTCTACCTTATTTTTGGGTAGTCCCATTTAGCATCCAAGCCTGAGACTAAATGGCTTTTAGAGGAAATAAAATGGTCATTCTAGCCCCCTGCAGGTGAAGAAAGTTCATGTGATGAAAGGGAAGTTGTATCCTCAATGTTCTGTGCTGGGACAGCCTCAGAATCCACACATTGAGTGTGGATCTATGCATGAGATATACCTTTGCAGCCATCCACATTAAATGCATAAGCATCAGGGGGTAAGGCTGGCCCAGCACAGAACACCTGGGATGGGGTCCCACTTTCCTTTCATCATATGGAATTCATTCATGTGAATAAGGTATGAAGGGGGATTCTGTGTTCTCCGCAAGGGCTTTCACCAGCAGTAGCTGAATACTAGACAGATCATACAAGATGTATACAGCTCATATAAGGCATCATAAGAGTGGCTGAATCCATTTTGGCATAAAATTGTCTCCAATACTCATTCAAATGAATTACAAAATTATTCTAAAGCATGCCTCTCTCTGAAAAGATTTAATGCAAAAAGTAAAGACTAGCCAAACTGTTTTTAGGATATTTGCCAAGTGTTTCAGTGTAAACTCCTTAAGTTTAAGGGGGAGGGAGAACAGAAGTATTGCTAACCTGGATCATTTTCTTTAATTACAACTAAGTAAAATAATCCTCTAGCTGAAAGCAAGTCTGACACCAGTGGAAAGAGCCTGTCCATAACTTCTCTGCCATTTTTACCTCCAGCCCATGCTGCCTCTATTCCATGACTGTGAATCTAGAATAAATGAAAAAGGAAAATTGCACTTTGATATACCATGCAGCATTTTAGACAAAATAAAAACAAGATGACCTTTGCAATGAGTGAAGTCAAACACATTTGAATTCAATCAATTATGTAAGTCACATATACCTGTTTAGCTTTTTAACCAATTTTTTAAAGCAAGATGGCCTTACTGTCTATTATTACTGAAGAATCATCAGGATATGAAGTCTGCAAACCTAAGCAGAGCTCCATTCAACACAAAGGTGACTGAGATAAGATCAGGCTGCAAGTATCCAAAAAATGCATGTGCAAATTTATTAATAGTAGTAATAATGGAAGACAGAAATACTAGACAAGATTAGCTAGTTAATAGTGAAAACAGATTTAGGAAATGCTGCAGTTGAATTGAAATTTTCAGACAAGTGAAATTCAACATATTCAGTGGGTAACAACTGCTACCCAACTGCAACAGGTTGATAAACTATTTTCTCAAATGCATACATACCTCAGCAGAAGGGGTTACTACATAAGGTGGGTTAAATAGCAGTACATCCACTTTCCCATGCAATCGTGGCAACAATGCTGTTACCTAGACATAAGTTGACGTAAAATAAATTAACACAACTTTTATTCTCCAACAAACTGCTCCAAGCCTGCTTGTGTAAAATACGATTTAGTAAAGAATTTGGGGCAGGGGCAGGGGGGAAGTTACAGCTATTCCAGTTTGCTTCAACTTTAGCACATGACCTTCAGTTAGGTCACAGAAGACTGACATCTTATTAAAAGACTGGTTATCAATCTAAAAGCTGTCTCATTGCCTTTATGCTCCAAGAAAAGGTCAAAACCAAAAAACAATGTTTTCAATTAACTCACCAAATTCCTGGATGAGGATAGTTTTGCTACAATTATTTTCCAAAGGAAGTGAAAAAAGTACCTCTGTATTAAAAGGATCACCATATTTTTCGCCCTATAGGGCGCACTGGCCCATAGGACGCACCCCGGGGTTTTTTTTCGGGGGGGGGGGGAATGAATAAAAAAAAATTATTTCCCCCGCGGCTGGGGCAGGGGAAGCCCGAGCTTTCCCTGACCCCAGCCCACAGAACAGGCTGCTGCCTGCAAGCCTTGCGAGCCCGCGGGAACTCCCCCTGGGCTCGCAAGGCTTGCGGATAGCTTCCTGAAGCCTGGAGAGAGAGGGGTCGGTGCGCACCGACCCCTCTCGCTCTCCAGGCTTCAGCGAAAGCCTGCATTCGCCCCATAGGACGCACACACATTTCCCCTTCATTTTTGGAGGGGAAAAAGTGCATCCTATAGGGCAAAAAATACGGTAACATTTTATAAATTAATCTGATTTAATACTTGTGTTCTGCTTTTCAAGCAACAATGTTGAGATGGAAGTAGCTCACAATAATAACAGTACCATTAAAATTTACAAACATAAGTCACTAGTAAACAAACAATAGCATATAAATACCGCAAAAAAGCTAATTCATTGAACAATATAAACTCAAAGTGCTATATCAGCACATCACAGTGAAGTGTTTGGTATTATGAAGGTATGCAGTATTATCTATCAAAAGGATGAGTTATAATTTGAATCTCACCAGATCGGTAATTATGGGCTGAATGTCAACATTATTATGTATGGCTGTTTCCACAGTGCACAGACCTGCCAGAGGGTTGATATCGGTACACCTATAAGCAAATGAGCCGTATTTCAGTTAAAACAAGCAATGTTTTGTCAACCAAGGTAACATTAAATATCATTTAGATAAGGTGATATTAAAACTGTCACAATGTGATACAAATAAATACCCACAGGTCGCAGTTCCTTATAATAGTATTCTCTTGTAGTTGGCAACAATTCAGATACCATGTTAGGCATAACAATTCAAATATCCCTATCTGCTCTGACTGCAGGGATTTTTGCGCCACCCAAGCTTTGAAAGAAAGAATACTGGTAACTTTTATTAAACCAAGATTAACCATGGACTTCCATGCAACATACTGGCTCAGTTCAGAGACCATAAAAACTATGGTGAATGAAGTTTATGATTTGGCACAGCATGTAAACATCTCCAGGCACGGCTGCACCAGAAATACAGAAATAAGTCTTTGACGCCAAGTCCTGGAAGGATGGAATACTAAAGCAGATAAAAAGGTCTAAAGCATAGTTTGCCTCTAATGCATTTGGAAACTCGATGGTTTAGGTTCTAAAATACTGCTAAAATGAACCATGATTTGGTATGATTTGGTAGGAGCCAGTGTGGTGTAGTGGTTAGGAGTGGTAATCTGGGGAACCGGGTTCGTGTCTCCGCTCCTCCACATGCAGCTGCTGGGTGACCTTGGGCCAGTCACACTTCTCTGAAGTCTCTCAGCCCCACTCACCTCACAGAGTGTTTGTTGTGGGGGAGGAAGGGAAAGGAGAATGTTAGCTGCTTTGAGACTCCTTAAAGGGAGTGAAAGGCGGGATATCAAATCCAAACTCTTCTTCTTCTTCTTCTTCTATGATATCTGAACCAAGTAATTAGCTGCATAGAGTTGTGAGATGTATAGTATTAGCTTCAACCTGTGCATCTTTCACCCAACTGGTCTACTGTAGGAAGGATCCACTGGCATCAAATATACATTCCCATGACTTTAATTACACTTCACATATTTATGCCCAAAGGTTTTTTAAAAAACCACTATAGTATACAACTTAATTAAAAGGCCACTGAAGTGCAATTCATGGTAATATTTTTGTGATCTAGGGGTGTGGGGTACATTTAAGGAATCATATGCACCCTGCCTTTACTTATCCTACAATACAATTTAAAATAACATATAAATACTTACAAGTATAACGCTTTGGGTCCAGCAATTGAAGCCAAAAATGTTGAAACTACTCCAGATCCAGATCCTACTTCAAGGCAGATCTCAATGCTAAACATTTTAGACATAAAAATAAGGGTGCAATGAGATTAACGAGGGCTGTGCCGCTATAAACTATTCAGACAGTGACTACATATCTTAAAAGTATCTGAATAGAGACAATGTATTTTTCTGCAGAAAAAAATAAGAGATTAATATTATCCACTGTAAGCTTTACTTTAAATGGAATGACTATACCCACTAAGAAGCTTAAGTTCTATTTTTATAAATTAATAAGCTTGATTTTTAAAGAGATTAAATTCATTTTCCATGTAGTTTTCAACTTCTGATTTTTTAAACTAGTAAATCCTATTTGAAATGCACTTATCCAGTCTAATGATGGCCTTTCAAAACAATCTGTAAGCCTAAGTTCTTTATATATTTTCCATCTGTAAATGCCAGTACGTATTCTAGTTTTGCCTCAAAACTAGTGGGTCATCCTGCAGATGAATGTTTGCTCTAGACACACTTAAGCACAGTTAACTGTCATAACTATAGGACAAGTATATCCTAGATATCAAGCTGGACTACAGCCATAGTTCTAACAGAGCATATTTTGTATATATAAGGTTTCAGATTCATCCCTTGGCAACACTACTTTAAAAAGGGAGTCTCAAGTACTACTACTGAGAAAGATCTTGCCACAAGGCTGGTTGAACTCCTTTCAGCAGAAACTGTTCACAATCCTTACTGCAACTAAAGCCAATACGTTGGAACAAAACACTATAGAGTATGACATAACCAGCTTTGGCAAGGCCCTACAAGGAAATAAAGTAAGGTGGTACGTTTTTGGGTGCTATTAGAAGCGGCAGTGTGAGAGACAGGCACATCTGATCCATGGGGCACAAGTCATCAGGAAATTCTACTTTCAAGGCTCCTTGAAACAGCAGCAATGCTCTTGAGGCTCAGGGGTCCTTGGTGGCACAGAGTGCCTTCCATCAGCTTCAGCTGGGGACCCAGCTGCTCCCCTATCTGGACACATATAGCCTAACTTCTACCATCTATCCTTTGGTAACTTCTAGGTTAGATTACTGCAATGTGTTATATGTGGGGCTGCCTCTGAAGAGTGTTTGGAAACTTCAGTTGGTGCAGAATTCAGAGGCCAGGTTGCTCACAAGGGCAAAACAGTTTGAGCAGTGTTAGAAACAGAGATATGAAAGTTAGGGGATAAATGGCACCTTAAACTTAGGTTATGGGCGCAACAATGGAATGTCCAGGTGCACTTTTTATAACAAGAATACAAAGCTGAAAATAAGAACTGCAGATAAAATCTTATATTCATTTTTCACATGGTCTAGTCCTCTTCTGAAGACTGCAAAAACAACAACAAAAAAACAACAACACCATGCTTCCCCTGCCCACCGCCCTAATATTCTTAAGAGGGTCTCTTCTCCAGTATTCAGAAAGTGGCTGGAAGTTTTAATCTGAAATCTTAGGCGCAGTACTGTGCCCAGAGCTCAGAAACTACTCATGCAAATGAAATTCCTTGTCGCAAAACGTGCCTAGAACAATGGGAGTTTTGAATGCTGGGTTTGAGCATATGATGCCAATTCTGGCCTGACTGCAGGGCCCTCTCCCTTCCAGGGCCCTCTCCAACTGGCCCAGGGGGCGTGGCCAGGGCCCTCTCTCCCAGCTATAAAGAGACTCCTGGCTGGGTGAGGACTGCAGGGCCTGCTCCCTTCCAGGGCCTTCTCCAACTGGCCCAGGGGGCGTGGCCCAGGCCCTTATTTGGAACAAACTTTTGGGGAAGCTGGGAAGTGTTCTGCAATTGCTTCCCTGTTCCAAGTGGTTAATGTGTTTTAAAATGTCCTCAAGCAGTCGGTGGCAATTTAAATTTGTACTGTATTTCTTTTTTTTCCTTTTTCCTTTGTTGGGGGTGTGTGGGTGGGATGGATATTTGGTTGGGGATTAATTTTAGTATAATTGTTCTGTTTTTGTTTTCTGTTGTTTTATTGGTTCTGTATAGTTTGTGTTTTGTTTTTAAGGGGCGGGATCAGGGCTGCCTGGGAGTGGGGCCCCAGCCAACACGATGGCTGGGACAAGTTCCACAGGGGGGGAAGCACTGGGACATCCGATCTTGGTGATCATGGGCAGGAGGAGGAGTTACGCTAAGACCAGACCATGTCATTACCGAGGAGGCAGGTTTAGTCGTTGTTTGAAGACTATCCCTGCCTCCGGGTCTGGCCTTGACCGGATGGATACTGGAATCAACAGGGAAACCCACATGACCTGAAGGCGTTGCTGTGTAATGCCAGGTCAATGATGAATAAAACCACTGCCATCCACGACTTGATTGTGGATGGAGGATTTGACCTGGCATGTGTGACAGAGACCTGGTTGGAGGAAGCAGATGGGCCTGTCCTTGCTGCTGCTTGCCCACCAGGTTTCTCTTACGCACAGCAACCCAGGTCATGTGGGCAGGGAGGGGGGGTTGCAGTGATTTTTAGGAAGTCATTAGTTTGCATCAGGCGTCCTACTGGGAAGACCCAGTTTTCTGAGTGCATGTTCTGGAAGTTGGGCAATAGGGGCAGTACAGGATTCCTTTTGGTGTACCGACCTCCCCGCTGCACCAAGGATTCCCTGTCCAAGCTGCTTCAGGTCGTGGCGGATGTTCTCCTGGAGACACCTAGTTTGGTTGTCCTAGGGGATTTTAACATCCACGCCGACACGACCTTACAAGGGGCCGCTCGGGACTTCGTGGAAAGCATGGCCTCCATGGGGCTGTCCCTGAATAAGTTGGGCCCAACTCATAGTCATGGACATGCCTTAGACCTGGTATTCACCTCTAGTGGCATGGGTGATCTGACACTAAGTAAAAGTGAAACCAAAGAAGTGCCATGGTCAGATCACTTCCTGGTGCAACTGGACTTCTCTGCGACCCTTCCTCTCTGCAGGGAGGTGGGACCAATTCGGATGGTCCGCCCCCACCACTTAATGGATCCAAATGGTTTCCAGAGAGTGGTAGGGGATGCTTTATCCCATGTTGATGGCCTTTCAGCTGATTCCCTGGTGGCCCGCTGGAATGCGGAGTTAACCAGGGCTATCGACTGTCTGGCTCTGAAGCGCCCTCTCCGATTGCATGGAGCCCGGACAGCCCCGTGGTTTTCTTCGGAGCTGAGGGCGATGAAACAATCGCTGAGACGGCTAGAGCGTCGGTGGCAGAAAACTCACTCCGAATCTGACCGGACACAGGTTAGAGCTCAACGTCAAGCCTACCAAGGGCGATAGCGATGGCGAAGACTTTCTTCACCGCCTCTATTGCATCTGCAGAAAATAGTAGCAGGAGACTCTTTCAGGTGGTCCGCAATTTAACGGAACCACCTTTACCACCGAGGCCTTGTAAAGACCCCAAGATCTCCTGCAACGATTTTGCAAAGTTTCTTGCAGAGAAAATCACTCATATTCGGAAGGAGCTAGACACCACCGTGGGAGCAGGGCTGGGGCGGGAGAGTGCTAGAGCCCTGTCTGGTCAAGTTGCAAGGACTCAATTGCAGTCCGTTACCCCCGAGGATGTGGACAGGCTGCTTGGACGCGTGAAACCAACCACCTGTCTCCTTGATCCTTGCCCATCCTGGCTAATAAAAGCAAGCCGGGAAGGGCTGGGCGATGGGCTCTGCGGGGTGGTGAATGCTTCCCTCTGTGAGGGAACATTCCCAGATCCGCTGAAAGAGGCGGTCATTAAACCGCTTCTTAAAACCATCTTTAGACCCGGCCAGTATGGCCAACTATCGCCCAGTCTCAAATCTTCCATTCTTGGGCAAGGTGATTGAGCGTGTGGTTGCTGAACAACTCCAGGCACGCCTGGAGGATGCGGACCATTTGGATCCCTTCCAATCAGGGTTCAGGCCTCATCATGGGACTGAAACTGCCTTGGTCGCACTGGTTGATGATCTCCGGCGAGCTAGGGACAAAGGTGAGAGTTGTTTCCTAGTTCTGCTGGATCTCTCAGCGGCCTTTGATACAATCGACCATAACATCCTTCTGGACCGTCTAGAGGGGTTGGGAGCTGGGGGCACTGTTATACAGTGGTTTCGCTCCTTCCTCCTGGGCCGTGTTCAGAAAGTGGTGGTGGAGGATGAGTGTTCAGACCCTTGGGCCCTCACTTGTGGGGTGCCTCAGGGTTCCATCCTCTCCCCCATGCTTTTTAACATCTATATGAAGCCGCTGGGAGAGATCATCAGGGGGTTCGGACTGGGTGTCCATCAATATGCAGATGATACCCAGCTCTACCTCTCTTTCAAATCAGAACCAGTGAAGGCGGTGAAGATCCTGTGTGAGTGCCTGGAGGCGGTTGGAGGATGGATGGCGGCTAATGGATTGAAGTTGAATCCTGACAAGACAGAAGTACTGTTTTTGGGGGACAGGGGGCGGGCTGGTGTGGAGGACTCCCTGGTCCTGAATAGGGTAACTGTGCCCCTGAAGGACCAGGTGCGTAACCTGGGAGTCATTTTGGACTCACAGCTGTCCATGGAGGCGCAGGTCAATTCTGTATCCAGGGCAGCTGTCTACCAACTCCACCTGGTACGCAGGCTGAGACCCTACCTGCCCGCGGACTGTCTCGCCAGAGTGGTGCATGCTCTAGTTATCTCCCGCTTGGACTACTGCAATGCGCTCTACGTGGGGCTACCTTTGAAGGTGACTCGGAAACTACAGCTAATCCAGAATGCGGCAGCTAGACTGGTGACTGGGGCGGCCGCCGAGACCACATAACACCGGTCTTGAAAGACCTACATTGGCTCCCAGTACGTTTCCGAGCACAATTCAAAGTGCTGGTGTTGACCTTTAAAGCCCTAAACGGCCTCGGCCCAGTATACCTGAAGGAGCGTCTCCACCCCCATCGTTCTGCCCGGACGCTGAGGTCCAGCGCCGAGGGCCTTCTGGCAGTTCCCTCATTGCGAGAAGCAAAGCTACAGGGAACCAGGCAGAGGGCCTTTTCGGTAGTGGCGCCCGCCCTGTGGAACGCCCTCCCATCAGATGTCAAAACGATAAACAACTACCTGACATTCAGAAGACATCTTAAGGCAGCCCTGTTCAGGGAAGTTTTTAATGTATGATATTTTAGTGTTTTTGGTTTCTATGGAAGCCGCCCAGAGTGGCTGGGGAAACCCAGCCAGATGGGCGGGGTACAAATAATAAATTACTATTATTATGATGATGATGATGATGATGACTGCACTAGTTTCCAGGCCCAGTTCAAAGTGCTGGTTTTGGCCTTAAATGGCTCAGGATCCCAATACCTGAGGGACCACATTTCCCCATTATGAATCCCCCCCAGACCCTGCAATCACCATCTGAGGCCCTTCTTCCTCCACAAGAGGTCTAGAGGGTAGCAATATGAGAACGAGCCTTTTCTGCAATGGCTCCCCGCTCATGGAATGCTATTCTGAGAGCCTCCCCTGGCACCTTCATTACATATATTTAGGCACCAGGCAAAATATTTATCTACTGCCAATTCTTTGACTAATTAAACTACCTAAGATCTTTTAAACTGTGTGGGGAAGTTATTGTTTTTGTTTGTTACTATGTTATGCATTTTTGTATTTTAATATTCCAAACCACCTTGTGGACCTCAGATGAAGAATGCTATACAAATTTAATAAATAAATAAAAATAGTTTTTTTCCAGTGGGACTTTCTGGTGCATTGTGGCATGTTGATTAGTGAGAGGGCTGCCATTTAAACTTTCTGCTTCAGGCACCAAAACAGGCCAGAGCCCTGGTTTGGTTTTTTTTTTTATACATTTCTTTCACACCCTTCCTCCAAGGAGCTCAGGTTGTACTATTCTCACAACTCTGAGAGAAAAAATTAGCTGAAGCTTGCAAATTCTACTAATAAACATGTGCAGGTTCCCAAAGATGAGATCGCAACTGCCTTGCTCCTCGTGGTGGGAAGCATATCCTGATCCTATCTGTCCAGCTTCAAGATTGTGCCAGCTGTGTGAGAAAAAAAGAAAGGGTGAATGCTGTCTTGTTTCTTGTAAGTTGCCTTGAGAATGTGTGATCCAAGGGTGGGGAATAAATCTTTAAAAACAACCAACTCATCTGCCACTGCATGCACCCGGATGATGCCTGTGGTTCCATATACATTTGTTGTGTGCACATTACTTTACACATGAACCTTAAAAAAGCGTGTTGAGTGCTTTTATGGAATCTGCTTTTTTCATGCCATGGTGGAGGAATGGGTTTTGTGATCTGGGTTCAATGCCCTCCTTACCATCATTAGGCTAAGGTTACCAGACGTCCCCGTTTCCTGGGGACAGTTCCCAGATTTACAAATCAGTCCCCTGGCAAAATCCATCTATTTAGGAGGAAGTTGAAAAGTGTCCCCGGATTCATTGAAACAAATCTGGTAACCTTACATTAGGCACACACACACATTTCTTTTCTTTGTTTTCAGACTTCAAAGAACTCCAAATGTATGGATATACACTTTTAGTTTAACTGGGCGCAATTTGAGGTTTGAGTGGGTTCGGTTTATGTTTAGCTCTGCTATAGTGGTCTGCACTTTCGCCGTAGGTCTACGCCGCTGTCTTAAACGTCCTCGGAACATAACCCACCTGCAGCACCTTCCATATAAATTCAAGCGAAGTCAACGAGTTCAGTTTTTGCCAAGAGGCCAGAGCTGCGAGACCTGAGCCGCGCCACCAGCACGCGAGGTGAAGGCTCCGGACAGGAACGGCCGTACAAATGACCGGCACTGCCGCCGTTTGCGTGCGCGCGCATCCTCTCCCCCCCCCCCCGCGTCCTTCCCCCGCCTCCCTCCTGCCATTGGCTCCCTCACCTGCCGCTCCTCAGCTCCTCCGCGTCCCTCTCCAGAGCGTCCAGCAGCAGGAAAGTGTCTTCGGCGGGCTCGTAGACCTCGCTAAAGGGGCCCTGCGGCCCCACGTGCCGGTGCCACGGAGTGGGAATCATCGTGGGGCACCGCCAAGGGTTAAACAAACGGCGTCCCGCCAAAGAAGATGAGAGTAACGGCCGGTGAGGCGGGGGGACGGGACTGCGCAGCCGCAAAAAAAAAGTCCCGGATGTAAACACATCCCTTCGTCGGAGGTGGAGGATATTTAGAGTCTTGTAGAGAGGCACAGAAAGACCAAAGAAAAAGCTGTCGGCTGCCCGATGAGCATAGATTTGCCGTAGAAGGGCTGCTTTGCTGAGTAGGAACTTCCGGTGCGTTGTCTGCTGGGAAGGGACCCTCTGGGAAGGAAGTCTGTGGTCCGGATTTATAAACAACTCGCACTGAGCCCAAATTCCGGGTTCAGTGTGAACGTTTCAGGGCAGAAGTGAAGGGTGCTCGGAGCGGGAACCAGCAGAGAAATCCAGATTTTTAGCGTGGCTTTGGTCAGCAGGGTGCCATACTCTCCCAAACAATGCAGCAGCAAAGGCAGGCGGTCACGATCTTAATTTTAGAGAGGGGGTTGTATTTATGTTTCGGCATGTAACTATAGGGAAGCATAGGGAGATAGACGACGAAATCATTCATTTTCCCCCAACACCTTCCAGCTAAGATTTCACTTCATGCGTCTGATAAAGTGGGCTTAAATCTACAGAAGCTTATGATAAATTTTACTCTTTCAGTTTTGATAGTGCTTAGGGTGTTTAACTAGGACCTAGGATCCCTGGGTTCAATTTTCCACTTGGATGTGAAGCTCACCAGGTGACTCTCAATCTAAACTACCTCAGAGTTGTTGTGGGGATTAACTGGGGAGGGGGAGAACAATGTATGCTATATTGAATTTCTTGGATAAAATATGCATATGAATGTAATAAATAAATAAATAAAATAAGGTACCACAAGACTGATTTTTCTGTAAAAGTGGAGTGCTCCTGTATGCAACACACTGATTGCCTTCATTCCCTTCTGCCTGCCCTGTGCCCCCTTTGTTAGCCTCCCCCCACCCCAGGCCATCCTGAGACATTTTGCTATCTGAGCCAAAAGACAAGTTGGTGCCCCAATCCCATTCTTGTGGGTGGAGTAGCAGTTGATTCTTCAGTACAAGCACAGGGTACCTCTTCAGCTGCACCTAGGGCAACAAGCTAGTTGAGAGTACAGGACAGATCACGAGGCACACATAACTGCCCTACGACAAAGTGCAATAGTAGAGTGGGGGCATTCAGGAGGAACAGCTGGGAGCTGCATGGATGTGTGCTTCTGTGAGCGGAACTAGTTAGTTAAATCCAGCCCGTGGACTACCATACCACCCTCTTTGTGGGGAAGAGGTAGAGGAGGAAAGTACATTTCTGCCTGTAACCTACTAGGTGATTTTTCCAGGTCAAACTATTCAGGTGTCAACACAGGTTGCAACTCAGTTGTACATACTTCAACCAATTTTGCTGGTGTAGCCCAGATGGTCTATGTGAGCCTTCAGTGTTATTTTTCTAGAAAAAGTGGTGCCAGAACTTGGCACAAACTCCTCCTTTGTTCTTTTATAATGGCAATGGCGTCCACCTGAGAGGTACCGAAAAAGCACTGCCCACATTTAACCCAGAGTTCTACATGTTGAACTATGCCTTCCTTTATTTGAGTTGTACCTCATGGGATCTGCCCTACACACAGATAATGCCTATGTAGTTGTGTGGTTTTTTGCCTACACCCAGGCTGGGGAACGTGTTGTCCTCCAGATTTTGGACTCCCCACATCCATCAGCTGTAGTAGGCATAGCCAATATTCAAATATTATGTAAATTGTGGTCCAGCAACATCTGGAGGGCTGCAAGTGTCCCACCACTGAATACACTGAAACAGGCAAGCCTGTTTTTTCTGGCATTAGAAGCAGCAGCTCTTACAAAGAAATGTACAGCAGCCATTTTATGCTTTTGCCTTTCCATTTTTCATTCTCTCACTTTTTTGAGAAGTGTACAGTTATTTCAAAGCATGGTAATGAATGGGAGTCTCTTCCAATCCCTCTTCAAAACCCTTTTTGTGTGAAGCCTTTGACATGGTCCTAGGTCCTATTGTAGCTAAGCATAATTACACATTCTTTTCATTATTATCCCTGTTTCCATTTCCATCACCCTCCTCTATTGTCTCCCTGTATCTGATTATTGATTGCAGATCCTTCGGATAGGGACCTGTCCTATTGTACTCTGTAAAGCACTATGCACTATGTATTTACAAGCAACCTCATGCTCCATAGTTTGGGAATTCTAACAAATAAAATCAGTGCAGTTTTCAAAGGTACAGTCTGCCATCTTGATTCAAAATGGCACCCATTTGTATCCAAACATAAATAAAAACCTACCCCTTGATCTCGGGAACCATAATGCAAAATTTGGTTCCTGTATCTTAAGAGGTATCCACATGCATAATGAACAATTTTTCAAAATACATAATTGATTTTAAAGCATGTTACCCCAGCTTCAGCTAAAAGACTGCTAGAGCAACTTATACAAGGTCAATTAAAACAAGTAAATCCCTGGCCCATAGCTTGCAATTTGAAAGAAAACAAAAGGTATGAAGAAGGGAGATTGCAAACTCTGGCACAAACTCTTCAAGTTACATAGTAGGTCTTCTAATGAGCAGATGGAAGGAAAATAGTTCAGGAAGATGAGCCAAAGGGTGTTGATAAAAAGAGATGATGGAATGCCCCTGCTTATCACCTTGCTTTCTGTTGCAGCCATGTGATAGCCTTTGGAGGGAGGTAGAGCCAGATAAAGTGGCTCTGCTTTCCACCTTTCCCTCAGCCAGGTGACACTTAATGGAGGGAGGAGGAACCTGATAGTGTGGTCCTGTTTCCTATCACCCCCTCTGCTTCAGCCTAATAAAATTGCTGCTGATGGTGCTATATACATAACAACAAATAAATGAATAGATTATGCAACATCCACAAGATACACTTTCAGAATGTACACAGAACAGACTGTTTCTTGTAACACCATAACAACCAATGCTGCCGAATAACTTGGTGGGCCAATATAATGTTGTTGCCAAGGCTGAAGATCAAGTCCAATTCTTCAGTTTGCTTTTGGGTGGCCAGGAAAAATTAGTTTCAGCAAAGGCTCATGCATGCTGATTTAAAATGAATCCAGGTCTGCTACAAAGAACATTGGAAAATTGCAGCGGCCAAGAACAGACTTGTATTTGTGAAGTTTTATAGGCTTGTGATTTTGCATGAAGCCTGAGGTCTTGTGCTAGGCACTAAAAATACTCAATTAGCAGATTATGACTAATAGAATAGGATAGTTCTGCTTGCACGAGACAAAAGTAATATTCAGCAATATTTAGCTCTTTCAATAGTACAATGTCAAGCTGTGCTGGGTAGATGGAATAACAGTTGTACAACGTATTCCTATGCTTGTCTACTCAGAAGTACTGTGTTTAATGTGCATTCCCCCAATAAGTGTGCAGCGTCAAACACATGTTCTTTATAGTACTTGTGCATAAAGTAGTGCATATCTTCTGTGACAGGTGCATATACTTGATTTCTTTTGAAGTGGATTCTGGGATCTGATGGAACCTTAAGGTACTTTCAGCCCAAATTGTTTAGGGTTTTGTAAATTAACACACAGACTTTGAACCTAGCCTGGTAGCGATTTGATAACCAATACATATTGCCAGCAGTCTGCTACTGTGAGAGAGTAGCTGCTGCATTCTGCACCAGCGGCATCTTTTAGACCAGACACAATCGCAGTCCCACATAAAGTGTGTTACCATAATTGTGTTTTGAGGCTAGCAATACATGCATGGTCCATGCCACCCTAAACCAGGAATAGTTGCAGCTGGCGTACCAGCCAAAGTTGCTAGAAGGCCACAAGTCACTTGGAGCCTCTAATGACAAAGATCGATCAAAGAATATCTATAAACCTGCTCCTTCAGAAGGAGTGCAGCCCCATCCCAAACAGGCAACTAATTTATCTCCCAGATATGGAACCATCTACCCATGAGGCCTCTGCCTTTCTAGGATATCAGCCCAGCTTACTGGCTCACATCCAGTCCACCACTGCATTCAGACACTGGTCCAGGGCTTCCACAGCTTTTCCTAACTCAGATGTAATGGAGAAATACAGCTGGGTATAATCAGAATATTGATGGTTCTTCATTCCAAAATTCCTAATGATTGTTCCCAACAGTGCCCTCTGGCACTCCATAGTGTAAACACCAGAGGGCTGAGGAGCACTCTCCCAGAGTTACTCTCTGGACATGGCCCTATAGGTAGGAATGGAGCCACTGCAGCACAATGCCACCACTAACGATGCCATTGATGCCCAGCCTGCAGTTTTGCCGCAGAAGTATACAACGGCCAATGGTATCATAAGCCACTGAAAGCTTGAGAAGAAGGAGCAGGGTTGCACTCCTCCTGTCCTCTCTACAAAGGGCAACAAACCCAGGCTGGCATGGATTCAGATAACACTGGGCAACAATTTTTTACTTTTTGAATGTTGTCTAGATTTCTACAACTGATTTAGGGTATTTTTGCACTGCTGAAGCAGGAAATGGCATCCGTTTCTCTCCATCAGGTCAGGTTTTTGTGTTATGTTGATTTGAAAAAAATCAGATCTTGTGACAAAATCGATTACATTTTTGTGGCATTATCAGCTGATTTTTGTCAACACATATCATCCTAAATATGTTTTTAAGACAAAAAAAGTTTTTCCAAAAACACATATTGATTACCTGATAGAAACATCGATTACTGTAAACTGAATGGTGGGCATTGATAAAGGTAAGTACACGTAAATTGCATGTTGCTTCACCATTTTTCAAACTTCAGGGCTTGAACTTCCGTTTCTTGGAACTCCTGGAATGCTCAGCAGCATGGAGGTCTCTCTTCAGAGTCCAACAGTAGTCAGCCATCATGACTGCGTCCCAGCGACCCTGATACCTGGTCTCCATCTCTTTCATGTCCTGATGGAATCTCTCCCCTGCTCGTCACTCATTGAACCCAGGTTCTCAGGAAACCGGTCCATATGTGAAAATAGGTAGTGCATCTTGACGCTCATGTTGCAGCCCAGGTTTCTGAAAGCAGTCAGCATGTTGTTGACAAGTTCTGTGTAGTTTCTGGCCTTATTGTTGCCAAGAAAGTTCTTCCCTACCAGAACACATGCCTTCCACGCTTCCAGTTCCACTTCGTTCATTGAGTTTCCGAACTCTGGATCTCTGATGAGCTGACGGATCTGAGGACCGTCAAAGATGCCAGCTTTCAACTTCTCCATGGTCAATCCTGGAAAAGCCTGGCACAAGTAAGTAAAGCAGTCACCATCCTTGTCCAGAGCCTTGGTGAACTGCTTGATTAAGCCGAGCTTGATGTGCAGCGGTGGGAAGAGTATTCTGTCTCTGTCCACCAGAGGGTCGTTGATAACGTTCCTTTTTCTGCAAGGCACCAATTCCTCCCGCACAGGCCAGTACTTCTTCGTGTAATGCTGAGCATGGTCCCTACTATCCCACATGCACAGAGAACATGGGTACTTGGTGAAGCCAGACTGTTGTCCCAACAAAAAGTTCACCATCTTCAGGTCAACACAAATAAACCACTTATGCTGATCATAACCAATTTTCTCCAGCACATACTTCACCGCTTCATAGTTCTCCTTCAGTGTACTCGAGTGAGCCAGGGGTATAGAGGCAAACTGGTTGCCGTTGTGTAGCAGAACACATTTCAGTGATCGCTTGCTGCTGTCAATGAACAGTCTCCAATCTTTGGGTTCGTACTGTGGCACTCCAAGCTTGAGCAGAAGCTGTGCAATATCTGCACAGTACACCAAGTCCTTCTCTTCCGAGAAAAAACGGAGGTACTCTTGATGCCTGTTGCGGAAGAAGCTGGTGTGAGCACTCTCAGAGAG